GGGCCTTCTGGCAGTGTGAGTGAGAACGCACGTGAATCACTTAAAATCAGGTGAACAGGAGATTCACGATTGCCTCCTGTTCATAAAATAAAACTAGTATACGTATAATTTTTAAATTACCACAATCATTTTTGATTTGGGCGAATGATATATATTTTTTACGGCCATTACTTATGAAGACCTTCACACTGTTTTTGATATGTTAATTATCAAATCAGTAGTACTCAATTATCAAGTTAATTTGATATACTTAAGATAGAACTGATAGTGTGAATGGGCTCTTATAGTGAGTAAAACGATTTAAACGTGATATCTCAATGTTGCATTCTGTTTTCCGAAAAAAAAATCTCTGAAATTTCAATATGTAAAAATTTGTGTAAAGAAAACATTTTGAAAAGTAATTATGTATCTCTTGTAATTGATAAGCCATATATGAAATGAAGAGAGGACGAAAGTATTGGAAAATGGTGGCGAAGATGAGAGACAAGTGGAAAACTTTGGAGAAGGACTTCACTCCGTCGGAGGTCGAGTACTAATGTTCAACAATGACATGGACTCAATGAAATCCTGATTATGGAGTACTCGAATAAAGGATATTTTAATTTTATATATTATATAAAAATAAATATGTGGCGAAGAGAATCATTGCGAGGACTCCGTCATGTCTTAGACCAAATCGACGACATCTACTCTACATCAGCTTCACAAAGCTTGAGATATACCATCTTGCCTACAAAAAATCAAACCAATAAACTCTATATAGGTCGATGACATTCGTTAATAATTGCACTAACCCCTTGCAATAGTTAAATCTCTCATACAATTACTACTGCTTGATACTAACCTTGTAAAACTCTCCATAATATCTATAAGTGCATTATCATGTTAATCATGTTTACCTGTTTCCATAATCTAATAATTCTAAGTGTATTCTACATTTTTTATCGTATTGCATTTTACGCTTATATTATTGCTCTCCATCAATTTATAAATTATTTCTGTTATCCTACTGATATTATAAACGCGAAAGTTTGTAAGTATGGATGGATGTTTATTAGTATTGCTTTGAAAAACTTATTCATTTAATAAAACACTATTTTGACCGGATTGAGTTATGTAGTAGTGACCACGACGCTGTAAAGCAGCGAAACGTCGGATAAATTTAAAATTATGTTAAATAGTTTAAAAAATAAAAAACTTACGTCTATTTTTATTAAATGGATGTTTATTACTCTTTCACGTAAAATCTACTGAATGGATTTTAATGAAACTTTACAATAATATACCTTATACAGCAGAGGAACATACAGGCTACAATTTCTAAAGATATTGTGTGAACGGTCTAAACTATCAAGTAAGTAGGAAAAAATCTACCCTCTGCCCTGCGATTCTGTAACTCACTTTTCGAACTCACACAGCGGTTTTCGCATCGGCGGTCGCTCTCAAATCAGTCATTCATTTATGATTTGGCATTCTGATAAACAATAAACTACAAGCTCCCACCTTTTCAGAATGCCAAATCATAAAATGACTGCTTCACGACTGATTTGAGAGCGACCGCCGATGCGAAAACCGCTGTGTGAGTTCGAAAAGTGAGTTACAGAATCGCAGGGCTGCGAGCTATTTTGGCGTGCGCTGCTAAAACCGCTAGAGTTACACATATGAAATGTATGATGGAAATGTTTATCTTAATTTGTCCTACAAAAATGCCCGCCACAGTATATATCTATATCTTATGTGTAAGCCATTATAGCCAAAATAGTGACCCATAACAACCATAAAAATTGATAATTTATTTCAAATGCACATTTGGTATTATATAGTTTTATAATAAACTGATTCCTAAATGAAAAAAGATACGCTTCTGGTATTTAAAGTAGTTAAAATATGTCTTTCACGCTACATCAATTGGACAAATATTTTAATCCTGCGTAGACGAAGTCGCGGGCACCAGCTAGTAAGTAATATAATTGTTAAAATATTAAGAATAATTTTACTTCTATTGGCCTGTAATTGCTCATAGTCACATAATATCATTCTTAAACATTCTTACATAGTAGCTAACAAAGCTATACTCTAAAACTTGTTATATATAATATTCCAAACGGAAAATTTGGGATATAAATATAGCTGTAGCTGTGGCGTATAAAATGACCTGCAAATATTTCCAGTGATCTAAGCATAATTATTTCTGGTCTGTAGTCTTATGAGACGACTATCTTCTAATATCCCTTATTCCAATATTCCCTTGGTCATCGCATCACGCGTGGACGTGTGGGACAGTTTCGCAATTTTTTTATTATTTCCATTTATTATGGTTGTAGGAAATATAAATTAAAGGAAGTGATAATTTGAAGATGGGAAGATTTTCCAATGTTCCTCACATTGGAAAATTTAAGAAAAGTTAACGATATATTAATTTTACATAACTGTCAGTTGTTTGAAGTTGTCAGCGATTGACGGTTGACGTTTGAAAGTTAATTCGATATATTGTTCGTGATATTGAAATATTTGTTATTTTTATACTAGGTCACTTGAGTAAGTAAACATTTAGATTTACCTTTTTGTAGGTGAAACGTAAAAAATACGTAGCATTTTAATTTTTTATTTTCCTCAAATGGGTCAAATTTGTCCCTTTTTCGGTGGAGAATTTTTTTTAGTAGCAAATGTCAGAATTCTACGGAATGAAAAATCTGAGTTTAGTTACTAATAAAAACGCCTGACAACTTTTAAATTTGTTTTTGCCGAAAGAAAATTGTCAGGCGTAGAGATCTTAACAATCAATAATTGATAAATCAATTCCATAATAATTAATTTATAACTAATATTGTGATAGAGAGTCTTGGAGTTTTATAAATATATAAGGGCTAGATTTACGCATGCAACTGTGTTGGTCACAACCCTGAGGGTAATGCATTCAAATCCCGGCCGAGCCTATTGGATTTTTGGGTTAATTTAAAGAGTGAGGGGTGTAGAATAGTATACATTCTTTTGTGTATTGTAAATGAAGAGTTTCTGGTCGTTTATAATAACAGGAAAACAAAAGATAGAAAAAAAATCATTGTACTTACTTCCCTTAAGGAAAATTTATACCGGAACGAGACACGGGAAATCGTTACTTATTCTATACGCGAAATAGCATTTCCTCATTATCCTGACTTTTCCGTTGTATAAACAGGTTTTTTATGATAATTCGGAAAATTTTAAGATGAAATGAGATAGAGGTAATTTGTTACTTCGCATTATATTACTTTATATTTATATTGATAATTTTTATAAATCAATCTTATTACTTTATTTAAATATTTATTATTAAATATAGAGTACTAAGCTTATTAGACATTTGATAATGTTTTTGAATAATATCAGCAGTTTTGGTCTAGTGGCTTCAGGGAGTGACCCTCATCCCTCAAGGTCTTAGGTTCTATTTTCGGCTCGGCTGCGCACCAATTGACATTCTGTCTGTGTGCGCATCTAACAGGAGCTTGTCCGGTGAAAGCATTCATCGCTTGGAAAAGGATCCAGAGAGTGGAAACAATCTGAGGCCATTGTTATTATTATTTATGATTTATGTTTATGAAATAAAAATATAATAATAAAAAATATGTTACTTAGAATTGTATCGTTATTTAATTTATGTCCATGTTATGAGACATTGAATTTAAATTAATAAAAAATTATAAACAATTCAGTTCAATCTCATAAGAATTCCTTCTGTATCAACAAAAGAATTAATTTATTATTATAGATATACAGTTGCTCGAGACACGGAAAAATTATCATTTCACAGGGACTTGCCAGGATCTCCTGTTTAAGAACATCGTATTAACCAATCGCCATCAAAGATTGTAATTAACGTAACAAAATATTTCGAAATGTAATTGTTTTGTATTCAGTTGCAACATCAACACAATAGATACATAATTATGTCAGTTATTTGTAGTCTGGGTAGAGGATTATTAGCCCAGTGGTTAAGTGGTTTTTGTTGTGGTGGTGGAAACACTGGACCAATGGTTTTTCTTTTCTCTATCAAACGTGAGTACGTTATATGAAGTTAGACACATAAATACCCATAAATTGTCTATGTGATACAAAACATAGGGTTGCCTGGAAGAAATCGCTTGTTAGCGATAAGGCCGCCCGTTGCCTTATAACTTTTGTAACCTGTTTTTTTATTTTTGTTATGTGTATGTTTTTGAATAAGGTAATAAAGTATAAATAAATAAATAAATAAGATACTTACCTATAAAGAAAAAAGTATAGAAACAGAATCTGAGATCTAGACTTATAAAGAGCTATGGTACCAATTCATGTACTTAATTTGTAGTCTGTGGTAAACAATAAAAGTAATAAAATACTTATAATATTAAAATTGCAGGAATATAACAGATATAATTGTAAATTAAATATCTACTTGTATTATCTATAACTGATATAATGCAATATTTATGGAAAATATGTGATAATTCCTAAGAATATTTTCCTTTTATAATCACTGCTATATTGTTTTTAATTGATGTATTAAAAATATTATAGCAATATATGTATGTTCAGAATTTGTTATCTAGGAATCTAAATTATAATTTTTCGAATAAATAAGTCGCACGTATATTATTACTTAAATACATAATGTGATTACAAATGTATGTATGTGTAACCTTTCCAATATATGTATTAAAATTAATAATAATCCTTTGAATGATATGATATGACCCCACCTAAGGAATGTTAATGTAATCTAATAAACCAATTTTTCAAAAGTCATGTAAAATGTAGATAATTAGTCTTGTAATCAATAATTATCATAATTACCTTTCATATCTGTCAGGACTATTTAATTAAACATTATCTAAATGTTAAAATTCGAATCTTTTTATTAACTAAAACACGAAAGGAATTTTTTTCAGATATAATCAAGTAATTAATAGTGACGAGAAAAATCTGAAATCTTACAGATTTGGAACGGCGTGCGTGCCAATACTACGTAGAAGTGACGTCAGATGGCAGATAGCTACGCTTACGACCCCGTGGGCAGCGGAGCGCCAGTCAACCAACAAGCGTACAGAATGGAGGAGGGACAACTTTGGAGGCAATATGTCATCGCCGGCGTCGGTATGTCTATGTGATGTGTTTGTGTTTATTTGTGAAAAATGTGTCTGTGGTACTTCCGAATGGGATTTGAATTCGTGAGTTTTACAAATAGGTCCAATTTTTTTTATACGATTTTGCACTGGCCGTGTAATCGAGTCGTCCGCGCACATCATTGAGGCGACATCTTAATTTAAGCTAATATCTTTTAATTGCGGTTTAATATAAATAAATAGAAAAGTGAGCTAAATTGCTGAGAAAAGTAATTTAAAATCTCAGATTAGACTCAGTACGGCTTTGCGCAGTAAACTAATTTACGAAGTTTATTATTTTTCGTGTTTATTTAAAGTTCTATGCTTTTTGTTACTAAAATAACTAAAAAAATCCAACAATCTATTTGACTCCAAATGCTGGTTTTCGTAAACAAAATCTTTCAATTTTCCGCGTCGTTACTCGTAGAAATATTATTTTCTCTAAAAAAATAAATGCAAAATAGCAGTTACATCGTAAAAGACGTATAAAAGATAACACAGTTATAATATTATAAAATAAATAACATCTGGATTAAATGTCTGATAAACTCATGATACCTAAGACTCAAGTGTTTTCTTGGTACAAATGCATTGGCTTCTTGAACTCAAAAAACATATTTTAATTAATGTTATTAATTCAATAATTGTTTTTCAACACATCCTTAAATCAACTTTAAGTAACATCTAAAATTTTAATCTATAATTAACTAAAAATATTGTTATATAAACAAGCTACTATCGCGAGATTTTATCTCAGCTTCGCAATTTATAAAAGAATTATATTTAAGTTCTGGATTGAAAAAAATTAATAATAACATTTATTAAAACATCTTAAAGATTACATAACTCGACATTAAAGTCTCTTTCTGACCATGATTGTGTAGTAGTTCATTTAATTACAGTGAAATTAGTGAACTATTAACTTTTTAACAAAAATGTTTAGTAAAACCTCACCATAATCGTTGATTATTTAAAATTTAGCTGCAAAATTAAACTATTTTAGAAGTAACATATACAATTTTAAAATTTATTTAGTTGTAATTAAAGTTAACTTGCTAAAAGAATAGCTTTTTAAAACATAGCGTGGAAAATCGTAATATAATAAATACTGATGGTCTATTGTAATTTAATACATCTGTTATAACAATCATTTCACGTCTGTTATGCTATAAACACATTCCCATTATAACAGAAATGTTATTTGCTGTTTTCAATACATATTTTGATAAGGATTTATGATTTCATTCTATCAATTAGGATTTAAAACGTGAATCGACACAGAAATAATACATTTCTTAAGGCATTTGCAAGAAATTTACGATTTAATAGACATTATGTAACTTAGGCTGGTGTCTACGTTTCGTAGCATAATCCGTGCTACGAACCGTTTCCGCGATAAATTTCCAGTTAACTTTTTGGGTTTTTCTGTGGAGAATAAACTCAGGTAATAAAATAATTTATAAAATTATAATCACAAAGGTCATAAAAGTTTATATAACTCTTATTGCTATGATAACCAATATGTTCTATCTTAACCCCCACTACACTTGTTTTTCGTATTTTTATCAACATTATGTAAAGTAGCGATAATGTGAAATAATCAACCGTTTGACCTTCGAATTTAAATTATTATTTTAATTATAACACATGTTTTTGGCTGATTAACTTTTTTAAACGAAATAGTGTGGCAGGAGCCATCTTCGAGTATATATGACTTAGATTGCCAATTAAATTTACCGGATATAATAGGATTACACTAGTACCGGGTGGTAGAAACTGGAACTTCTATCTTAAAAGTCTCTTAGATGAACTTGACGACAGCGTTGTCAACAAGGTTTTTAGAATTCATAGGTGATAGTATAATTCTTATGTGGAAAAGCCATCGTTTTACTTCAGGATAAGCAGCTGTCTCTATCTGCTTTCTATCTTTTTATCATACCATAATTGTAATCATAGACATTACAAGACTGGCAGGAATTAGTTCGTACATTATGGTCCCGTCTCACCTAGATACTCTAAAAGAGATTTTGCTAATGGTTTCGGAGGTTAAACTGATGCAATATACCGGGTTTGTCGAGCACGAAGAGGTTTACACTGTCAAGAGAACTATATTAGAGATATATATGAGATTCGATCTATATTATTGCTACTTGCATAATCTCATCTACCTTTGATTTAAAGGAAGTAAAAAGTGAAAAGTTCATAGTTATTTTACTTTAAAAAATCGTTCTTTAATGCAGTGAATTTCTTAGCGACAAAGTAAATTTGTGTGTTGGGAAGAAACATTGTTCGCAAACAATGTGCACGCCAATAAAACACTATCGAAAATTGATAGACACTACTTAGTGAAAATAAAGTAATAAAATTGTAAATAGCTCTGTTAACTCCGTTTTATCTACTGACAGTAAATTACTTTGAATTTACTGACTTCAAATGTTAATAGGTAACAAGAATTATTTGATGCATGCGTGATGAAATAGTATAACATAGACCGAAAGATATGTCCTTGAAATCCCATCACATAACCCTTCCTTTATTGGTGAATCTTATAGGGACTCCGCAGTAAAGCATGGTATATACTATAAGTATGGAATTCACTTAGTTCCTATCTTCCTTTAAATCTCTACTGTTCAAGAACTACCACATCGTATCCCTAACCACCTTTGCGGCCCCTATTATTTCATTATTATTACTTGTACTGATTTTTGCATCAGTGTTACAAAAAAACAAATAAAATAAATAATTTATTATTCTCATGTTGTGCAAAACATTTCTAAAATGTTTCAGTAAATCAATTGTTAGCTAAAAACAAAAGAAAACCAATTAAATTAACGCTTATCTTAAAAAAACTGTACCTATTCATTATTCATAATAATTTGTCCCTGATAATGAAATAAATAATAAATTCATCGACTTTTTTCAGGTCTTTCACTTTAAACATAACTAACTCTATACGAATATATTATAATATTCTCTATTATAACTCAGTGATTCGAGCTCAATCATTCGAAGTACTTAAAGTAATAAATAAAATATTTAAAATACATCTAACCTGCCAACACTCATGGGTGTGAGCGAATGTCATGCGAATTTCACGTGCATAGATTATAAGCAAATATAGTTTAATTATCATGATAAATATAGACACGAAGACGCATCCAAAATATCTTTATTGTTGAAAGATAATAAGTGGAATGTCAGTCATAGGAACAACAACGGAGAGCGTGTTTTCTTTGTATTCAAATAGCTTTAAAAACGGGATATAATACTATTGTCCCTAATTATTATTACTACAAAATCTTAGGTTTTGGTTTTTAGAATATTATTCATTATTTAGCAAAATTAGACTAAATATGAATAATATTTCACTGGACGCTGGTGGATAATAACCTTGCAACTTGGGTTAAAATACTATAAATAAAGTTTATTTCACAATTTAGAGTTTTACAAGTATTCACCATCTTTCGGGGAGGCTGATGCGTATAATATAAACAATTTAGGAAGTTCACAAAGTAACAAACAATATATAAATAAACCTCGTGGATGCAGACTTTCCTACATAATGCCGACATATCTATTTAAGTCGAATTGTTTCGGAAATACTTCAGTGGACAACTGGCTCCACATTGAGTGCGGCAAAAACTGCCTAAAGAAACGCTCACTTGTGGAACGACGGACGTCGAGGTGATACGGATGGTATTTTGTATTCTGCCTTGACGTCCGATGATAAAACTCTGCAGCTAGTCCGAACAACTCCTAATTAACTAATAATTGATGCTACTTCATATTAAATGCAGAATATCACGAAACTACTAAAGACATTTCGGGTGGTAATTATATTACCACAGTCCACAGATTATACAAGATATACTTAGAATAGAACCATTCGTCTTCATTCGGAAGCGCAGCAAAGTTTAAAATAAACAATTATAGCTCAATTGAGAATAGATTGTTTCCTTTACACAACGTAAAGCAGATGACTTCAGTAGGTAATGCTTTATTATTGTATTGTGTATGGCGACTAATGGGAGGTGTAACGTCATTAATTCCACCATTTATGATTAATGACTTCCTATAATTTATGAATAAGTTGCGGGAGCCTGTACCGCAGTTAAATGATACAATGGTCTTAAATACACTTTGTAATGTCATGAATAAATAGAACTTGGGAAACAAACAATCTTCTATCTAGTTCTAGAACTTCTTAGAACTAATTCGCTATTTATTAACAGCGCAGCTCCCTTTATTGCTTAGACGGAATTTGACATAATATACGAATGAGTACTTCAATAAAAACGGTGTAATAGTATGTATACTGATTTCGTTTTTATGATGACCTTAAATGTCGTGTGATATTTCAAATGTTATTAGAATTAGGCATATTATTGACTAATTACATTATTCCGAAACGTTTGTTAACAAAACTTTGCCTTTAAATATTGATATGCAAACAACTTCTCACTGCTAAAGATCATTGCTACACAATGCCAAATCGAATTGATCTCAAAAGGGAAGTGCCATATTACTGCCTCCGTTGACTATGTATAAATAAATGCAACAGGTTTTTCATAGAACATAAATGCGAATTGATATTATTTTAGACGGGCAATGAAATGTCAAGTTAATTCACTCCGTTAATCAATTAAATCCGTTAAATATGCGCAATAAATCCAATTTTCTTCGCAGTTATAAAGAACATCTAGTTACTCAACAAAAATCCCACGTAATTTAGTTTTTAATCCGTCCAAAAATATTTATTTATCTATTTCTCATTAATTTTTCTTATTTTTAATTTAATTTAATTTACTTTATACTTTTACACAAGACTTCATTCCTGACACTGCTAACTTTAACAGATATTATTTTTTTTCTACTAATTATTATTATTACATTCTTTTTCTTTTTTTGCGACTGAGGTGCAACCTAGATGGTTTGGTCTCTGGCAGAATGACCAGCGCTGTGGAAAAGTCTGCTCCTCAGCATAATGCTGAGCCAGGGCCAATTACAACTACAGCACACACGCATTACACAATTAAAACGTACCGTGTTCTCTAAAAGACAAAAAAATTGTTTTATTTCATTTTTTTATTATTATTTTTTTATTATTGTTATTTTCTGTGTTTCTGTGTGTGTGTTTTGTTAGTAATAAATGTTAAATCTATGTCTAAACAAAGTAATCAAATACACGTATTCAAAAATATACAATTTTAATTTTATAACGCTCAACGTCAAATGAATTTAAATACGATTATTAAGAATTGATTTGTCTTCGCGTTAGGAACTGTTATAGTTGGTTTATTGGAACAGGCAAATGGGTGTGTTACATTATTGAGTTAGCATCGAATGCATACAAACAATAGGCCAAGCCCGTGCACCTATTTTATGATCAACTAACTACCTACTTATTGACTTTATTTATTAACAAACTATATACTGACTAGTAAAACATTTTAATAGGTTGAGTATATACATAATTATGTAAACTATAATAAATGAATTAGGTTAATAATGTTTTATTCTGTTGAAATGTAATTATGGAATAATAATTCAAAGTTCTTTAGCCATTTGAGATTTGTTTTCTTTTGCTTGATTTGAAAGAAATGTATTCAGAAATCGAAATCGAAATAAAACACCAAATAAGTTCTCCAATTAGTTAATAAAATCAGGCAAGATCATAGGTATGCCCCATTTAGAGATTCAAGAATATTATTAACTCCAGTATGTTGGGTTTCTTAATGTAAATATTTGTTATATATCTGGACTAAATTCTGACGCAAGAAGACAAATATATCCCTTAACCCTACACAATCTAGATTTATGTAACGGAATTAATACAAACAATATTTACAACTAGACAAACATTTACACTTCATTGAAGTTTTGTTTATTTTACATTTATACGCAAATTAATTTCATTAGTTATCTTACTACTGAAATTAAATTTGCCTTTGAGGTTAGATTTTATGAATAAAGAAACCTTTTGAATGAGGTTTTTATTTTAAAAAGTTAAACTATTTTATATAAGTGGGGCATAAAGAAGAGTTTTCAGTGGCTCATAAACCGTGTCTGGTTTTGGAGTTACAAAATCAGTATTATTGTAGTATTCATTTATTAAAAAAATATACAAATAATAACTACGTAATATATTTTAACTATATACATTATTTATACCGGAAATACATAGAACGTTGTTAACGTAATCATTGTATTTTTCTAACGAGAATTCTTATCTATGTAATTGCTCTATATTTCTAGGAATTGTTTTTTTTTATCAAGTAGATAGAAAATGTCATATATTTTAAATTGTAATATAATTCCAAGACCAAGTTTTTTTTATTTACTTTATAAACCTATGTTTACTCGACAACCAATATTAAAGGAGATTCGACGGGGAAAATGTACGGCGTATATTAGCAGTGATTTCATTTGTTATAGTTATTTGATATAGTTGGGCGCCATTCATATGTTATATTAAACTAATTGTGTGTAGGACTGTAAATGTGAAAACTTAAATATTTTAAATACGTCTTATTGTCAATACCTTTTTATTATGCCTTGGAGCAGGCAGAAAATGTTCCAAAAAACGTTGGTAGATTCAAACCGAATTTATGAGATTTATAAAATGGTGTACATAACTAAGAGTACAAGTAGCGGCACGAAACTCTAGCGCTGACCGTTATTGCGCAGAAGTAAAAAATAAGGTACCTGAATGAAGCCTGCTAGCGGAATGAAGAGCGTCGATTGGCTCTCCAGTCGCATTCCGTCCCCCGCGCGACAGTACACATGCGCAGCAATCCCCTCCACGTATCGGCCAGCGCTAGACTTACGTGCCGCTGCCTATAAACGACTATAATACTAGTGTAATAAACAATTATTTCGATACGAATATAAAATAAAGTATGTAAACATTAACTCAACATATGTAGTATATAATATGTATATATCAGCTGCCGGTTGTTTCTGTTGTAAAAACAAAACAATGCGTGTTGATACTTTAAACTACTGAAAAACAGGAAGCTTAGTTCAGCTTAGTTCTTAAAAATGAATCTGTTTGAACCGTTTCAACTAAAGTACTCATTTGTCTCATTTCATTACAGCGTATACGCAATTTGACAGAAAGAGACTAAAACCTTTAGTTGCAATTAGATCGATTAATTTTTTAGAAAGAGAAAATACAATTTCAATACAAGAGGATCTATAACCACCACGTTTCGTTTCAGCGAACATACTCATCGCAAGTCTCGGCTACAACATGGGATGGACGGCACCTATCAACTCCAAGCTTAACAGGACTGACGAATCACCCTTGGAAACCATACCCACTCCTGATGACTTGGCTTGGATGGGATCAATTCTCACTATTGGTGCTATATTTGGTAAATTGAGCAATATAAATCAAAATAATTTGTTAAAGTATTGAATCGTAACGGCTATACAGTATTTTAAATTGTCTCTCAAGAGAGAAAAATAAGATTCATCAGAAAATTATGATTTTAAAATTACTACAATAGGCAAGCAATTAAAAATGATTTTATTATAAAGTAAAACATGAGATATAATAAGTCAAACATTAGCGTATAGCTTTTTTGTAATAATCACTAATGTGTCCCTTTATTGTCTTTTATTTGTAGGACCATTTGTCGGAGGTTTCGCAGCATCAAAAATCGGTAGAAAATGGGGTTTGATTTCCGCTACCATCCCTCTATTTATCGGTTGGATCCTGGTGGCGGTGGCTAAGACTATGGCGTACTTATTCGCTGGTCGTATATTCTGGGGCGTGTCTGTCGGCATGGTCTTCACTATATCGCCAATGTACTGTGCTGAAATTGCTACGGTGAGCATATAACCTCACTATAACTTAATAGACTCGATATGTTACTTTTTAAAATTTATTAGGTATAATTACGAATATCTGACTTGGTGTAAATAGCAATACCAAATAATTAGCAATACAAAATACGCTTACTCGTAATACCAAATAATCTAACCTAAGGTATATATTATTACCCAGAAAATGTTCAATAGAAAACTTCAGTCCATTGCGAGTGCTATATTTTTTAGATTAGTAAGAGTTTAAGAACTATTTTTGTTAGTTTTACAGTAAATGTAAATTGACAAAGGATATCTGGTAACCACTATTATCAATATTAAGTTGTAAAAAAAATTGTCGTTTTGAAGTTTACATAGAAACAATGTTATTGGTACGTACTCTAATTATATTATTCCTAACCTACAAACTTGTACATTGTATTCAATATTAAACGGGTCGGGTTATCTCATTGCATCACGGATTTCGCCCTTGACAAATATTGTGACATTATATTTACATTAATCTTTGCTCTGTTATTAAATTCTTATATTTGTATAGATTTATTTTTCAAGGATGAGCGATTGTTATTTAGTCTATATTATAAAGAGGCAAGATTTAAATTTTTCTTATTTTTCAAAACAAAAAGGTCTGTCTTTAAAAATTAATTTATCATTAGACTGCTAGCCGAGTTATTTGTTTTCAAAATATTTCAAGAAGTAAATGTCTATCTGTGTGAAGCCGGAATAGGCCATTAGTAATCTAAACAATAGTGTGTAATGGGAAAGTGTGCATTAATAGTTAAAATCTATCTAGAAAAATATTAAGATTCTTTGCTTTTACGGTTGAAGTGTATGAAAATATAGAAATATCATTCACGATTGTTAATTAATTGACACTAATAACTATGTATAAGAATTTTTGAAATTTGTTATATATTTATTAACGATGTGTCGAGTTCTTATAAAATCGGCGTCGAACTTAACGTTCCTGTATTAATCACGAAAATCCTAAAATGCATAAATCTAAATATTCGCCTAAAACTTTACATTGTTTCACGTTTAAGTCAGATTTGTAATAACCGTCTTTCATTGCAGGATGATAGTCGTGGTGCACTCGGGTCTTTCCTCCAAGCCTTCATCACTTTGGGTTTCTTGTTGGTCTATGGCATTGGACCATATATCTCGTATATGGCAGTTGCCTATGTAGGTGTAGCTGTAGTTGCACTCTTCTGCGTTCTCTTCTTCTTCATGCCGGAATCTCCTACTTACTACTTGCTAAAGAGTGAGTAGAAATGGGTTTTTTACGTGTCATTTCAAAATAAACAAAAGTCTCGTGTATTGACTTTTGACTCGACTTTTGTTACGTTCGGCTTTTGTTACGTTTCAATTGTGTTAAAATATTTCCTTATTTTTAGATATTTGTTAACAATTTTTTATTCCGTAATAATAATATGTGTTACTGACATGAAATCCTAGGCTCGTGAAAACTGTATTACATGAATCTGTGACATCCCAGTTGCATTTGAATATAGACATTCTACATATAAAAAATAGCTACAGTATTTTGTCTTAGTCGAGTTCAGTTTTGCATGTATTTCTAATTATTTTTTTCATTCAGATGACAGAGACGCAGCAGCAGAATGTCTCGCGACTATCCGTGGCCGCTCCCTCGCGGGTGTTGAAGCTGAACTCAGCAAAATGGAGGTCGAAGTGAAGGCTTCCTTGGAGAAGACTGCCACGGTAAGATTACAATAACGAAGTGTATCTATGTTGTCGAATTCCAATTACTTACATTGCGTCATTGGAACTTTCTGATGTGCCAATTCTAATAATTAACACTAGACGACGTCACGAAAGCCAATTTCGAATTAGTTTTCGTGAAAATGATCTTCTGATTTTGGGGTAGTCTTTTGTTTGCAATCAAAATATTATTTTTTCATTTATTGTACAATGCAACGACAATTAAAAAAACCATTTAAAGGTTCTAAATTTACTGTCAGTTCACTCATCGAGGGCGAAAATTTACGAAAAGAACTGGCAATAACAGCTTCGACATTCTCGTTAATCGTAAATATTGTAACTTACAAAATGTGTGTAAGTAGATCAATACACCACATTACATCTTAAAGTTATTAATTGTAACAATAAAATAACGAATGAAAAATTGAAAATACGAGCAAAGTAATCTGATCAGTACCAAATTTTTATGCATTAATTTGTTCTAGATTGCTGATGTCTTCCGCGGCAGTAACTTCAAAGCGTTCTACATCTCGTGTGCGCTGGTCTTCTTCCAGCAGTTCTGTGGTATCAACGCTGTTCTCTTCTACATGACTGACATCTTCGATGCATCTGGAACTTCTCTGGAGTCTTCCGTCGCAACCATCATTATTGGGGCTGTACAGGTATGCATCACTTTTATTAAAAATGTATGCTTGCGACAGTTCAGTTACAACGTGTATATTAGATAAAAATAACCTTGTAAAATTCATTTAAAGTTTAAAGCTTAGGTTTCCTAGAAAAGCGGTGCCGTTAACTAACGGCCGTCATTTTACGGTTGTTATTAACGGCCGTCTTTACTTTTTAACATAATGCAAAAAAAACATCATTTTCGCTCGTCCAAGTCACGTTTTCACTCATGGTTATCATTAAATATGGGCACCGCTACACGCGAAAAACGTTGAACTAATGTTTATCACCGCTATGACGGCCGTCATGCAAATGACACCACCACTGTTTGACGTTACAGTGACACTCAACGTTCTCTAGAAAACCTACTTCGATGTTATTTATAGACAACGTATGGGTGACGTCACCCAACGTTACATTATGGCCGTTGGATAACGGCACCGCTTTTCTAGGAAACCTAAGCTTAAGCGTGAAAACATAACGTTGGAATCGTTTTGTATATAAGCAGGAGTTTTTACATAAATAATACAGAAACCTTGCTGATTTTAAAGTTTGTTTGACTTTGGTACAATGTCAGTTACACCTGTACTTCAGATACGTATAACTGTTGAATTAGTAGAAAAATTACCGAACTTTGCATTAATTTGAGGTAGAAATTTAATAGTCGTTGTTCTTATTGCAAACAACTTTGTTTATATACAATTAAGCTCTAAAGTATATTAAAAACAAGATAATTTGAAAATTATTATTAGAATTGATTCAAGGTCAAACTCTAATCCGACTTTTATTACTAGAATTATTAATAATAATTACAAAACTATAATTAATCTACCAATGGAGATAATTTAATTGCGACTTTGTGTATTATATTAAACAAGTATGAATACTTATTTATTACATCAGATATTTTTGTTATAAGAAAAGATATATTTCAGGTGGTTGCTTCATTCATCACACCGCTGGTCGTAGATAGGCTTGGTAGACGGATTCTTCTCCTCATCTCCTCATGTGGAACTGCTATTGGAGCTGTAAGTCTTATTCTTCATCAATGTTAAGTTATAGATTTAATTTCGTTTTTGAAAGGCACTAACGAAAAATAAAAATGATCACGAGATATATCTATATATATATATATATATATATATATATACACAGACATCTGAGGCCGAGAACTAAAAGGGTTGTAGACCCGTTTTTGTTTTTTATTGTACGTAGACAATTGTTTTATTAGTTTCTTACCTTTATACTATCGTAAGCTGAATTAATTAGGTAACATTTCATTCAATTCAATAGTGGCTTCAGGGTGCGTCTCTCTTAACTGAGGTCGTATCCCCAGTTGTGCACCAATGGTTTTCTGTCTGTGTGCACATCTTACACTCGCTCGTACGGTGACGGAAAACATCGTGAGGAAAACAACATGTCTCAAATCCAAAAATCGACGTCATGTTTCAGAAGGCTGATCACCTGTTTATGAAATAAAAATGATCAAAGAAACGGATGCAATCTGAGGCAAAGAACCTTACACAGGGTTGTAGCGCCACTGGATTATAATAATAAATAAATAATATATTAATTAAATTCCAATATTATGTTTAGTTCAAGTTGTTATCAATTAAATTCATCCGCCAGGGTTTGCTCGGCATGTTCTTCCTTCTACAAGAGAACGACAGTCCAGTAGTGGATACTATCAGTTTCCTGCCTATTTTGTCCCTTGTGGTTTTCATTGTTACCTATTGCTGGGGTTTGGGACCATTACCTTGGGCTGTGATGAGTGAACTGTTCCCCATCGAAGTAAAGGCTGCAGCGTCACCTATTGCCACTGCTTTCTGTTGGGTGATGTCTTTCTTGGTTACCAGGTACGTTTCTTTAATGTTGGTGAGCTTTTTATATTAATATTTAAGCCTTGACTTTAAAAATTATTTATTTTTTGCTTCTTGCACTTGAGGTCGCGCCCAGTTAACTTTGAATTATTATAACAATTATTTATTTTGTTTATAATAACGCCTCATAAAATTTTGGCTTTAAAAATTTCTACCCCTCGAAGTGTAGAAACAAAATTGGACCACCAGAAATTGAATGAATTATATTTTTAAAATCTGTGATAGTTTAAAAAAGTAATTAAGTAAAACCTCCTACATTCTACATGTCCCAGAATGCGTGGATGAAACTTAGACTGTTCTCTAAGTTGGAATATTCAAATCAAAAGGATCAATCGATATTAATTGTGGACCGATCAATTTGTGGACAGACATTCAAACATAGAACACTTATTACATGTGCTTGAAGCCTGAATAGATCTCATTTTCTACTCGTACATACTACATACACATACTTAATCCAATTCCAACATTATTACACTATAATAATAACCTCTTCTTTGAAGTCGGTTAAAAATGGGAATAATCGATAATTAAATGTATAAAACCTTCCAGATACTTCCCAACCATATCGGCATCCCTCGGGATGTTTGTTGGTTTCTGGATCTTCGGCGTGTGTAGTGTCTTTGCCTTCTTCTTTACATTGTTCGTTGTGCCTGAGACCAAGGGCAAGAGCTTCCAGGAGATACAGGAGATGTTGGGAGCTGGGTAAGTTTAATATTTTTCTTAATCTTCATTAATCGAGGTAAAACATTAATTTCAATATCAATGATAAACGATATTTTAATATAACATTTTGTAGATAGCACCGAGTCTTAAGTCTAAACATTCCTTAACTCAACCTTTTTCATAGAATCGATATCCATCTACGAAAAAAAAAATTATTGAGTCTATGGTACAGTGTTTGTAGTAAACATACCCGTCGTATTTTTGTCATATCAAAATTGTTTTTGCTTACCAGTATTTGCCAAAGTAAAATAGTAATTATATTTTTTGTTTTTCAGAAAACAAAGACAAGAAAAGGCATAATGTATATGCACAACTTAGTCCAAGATATATTTTAATCCTTTTTAGATTAATTATGTTTTGTGAGATTATGTTATGATTGGGACCAAGCTTTTTGGCCAGAGGCTACGAATAGAGTTATATGTGTCCATACTCCATTGGGGATTGAGACATTATAGACATTATAGTAAGAAAATATAAATATATTTGTTAGTATTATAGTTATCTATTAAGTTCTTATCGTAATTATAGCACATTGTTTAATTTGAATTTTTAAATAGACTAATAAAATTTAATTGTTTTAGTTTATTTATTAAGCGATTCTTTAACGCAATCGATCCTATATATTTATTTATTTTTAATATATACTAATATTTTGAATAGTAAATGTGTTTCTTGTTTGTTATACACTCAAAAACTACTGAGCCGATATTGAATTTCGTTCACCATTAGATTGTTGGGTTCTATTTCCAAAATATAAAAAAAATTGTCCTGAAACCGGGATATATATATAATGTTTCTGTTTATTTTATAAGAATTAAATTAACATAGATTTAGGATTTATTCCAGTGCCTTTTATATTTAGATATATTTACCAACGCACTAACGAGTTATTAAACGAATTTATGATGTACCAAAGTACAAAAATAGTTAGGATAAACAGTGAAACTGATTGAAATATGTCATGTTATTAAAGGCTTTATTTCGAAGGTAATTGACGTCAGTTTGTCTGGCAATAATAACAAGCTCCTTAATTCGAAAGATATAATTCTAGTGTAATCTTTCCTATCTTTTATTTGTTAAATAAAAGTTGTCAATTAATTACAATGAATTTGTAAGAAATTTTTACCGCAATAACCATAAAGATTCATGATGAACACAAACCAGTTTTATTTTTTGTTGTGAGCAATGTACTTGTCAATATGCTAGCTTTTGTAAAGATTTTATATTAAATGTACGTAATGGCTGTGTTTTGTGATACTTGTTGAAATAAATGTTAGATATTACTTGTTTGTTTTTATTTATTTTTGTGATACAATTAGTTGAGTTGGATCATCAAGCAGACACGGGCAGATTTTCTCATTTATTGTTTTGTTTCTCAACTGTTGATAAAGTTATGACTCTCAATCGCATCCTAAGACTTAAAATACACTTAGACTATCCCTTCACATCATCTGAATGCGTTCTACACCTGAATATACCAAATTCTCCTCTGAACGGCATTTTGTGCATCCCAGGTTTTTTACAAATGATTATATATATTTTTATAACTAACACAACTTTTGCATAGGTATTATAACATAACATCGAATCAGCAAATGGATAGGATATAAAAAAGATCAAAGATTGAAGATGTGTGGTGTTGAATTGCTAAAATGAAACATCCAATAATAAACATATTTTAATAAAGTATTTACACAACAGATCAGTCCAATCTTATCAATTACAAGACTTCTTAAATATTTAAACATTAATTATACATTATACACTGTATTGTGTCCTCCTCATTTTAGTTTTATACACTAAAAATAAAGGTAATAACTACTAAGATCTGTACTCAAGAGTCATCCATTGAAAGCTCGATACCTTACTAATTACATGTAATGGACGGTGCAACTCAGCTGCGAAATGTAATGGCCGTTTATTAAATTACTGATTTAAAAAAGCATATGGTAGTGAACCTTTTTAGCTTTTAGCTACTAGATAGATGGCAAAATTTAAATATTCACTATACAACTTAAGTAACCATTAAGTCTTAATAATGAACATTAATTACTTATAAAACTGATTCATTACTTCCAACTAAATAGCTTTCTTCCTATATTTCACCTCATATATTATATTTTATATTGAGGTACCTAATTTTTTTTTAAATTAAATCACTTTCGTTATTTTAAGTTGATTTTACGATAATATTATTTATTATAAAGTTGACTAACGATAATAAACACCGCTTTAATACAATACAAACATATCGTGTCCACATGTAGGTTTTAGAGTTTTAGAAGGGGTATGTCAAATCAAGACGTTTTTGAAATTAGTTAGCGCTAAATCCCGACTTTGACCACCAGTCTTTGTCAAAAACTTCAGCTTACCTATATACGTCCTCTTACGAATGTCAAAATAACTGTTTTCGAAATCGTAAATGAAATAGGTACAATATAGAGTATATTACGGCTTGTAAATATATATCGCGCTAGTCAGAAGTTAGGCCCCCCCCAAAAAAAAAAAAAACACAAAAAAACAAAAAAAAAAAAAAAAAAAAAAAAAAAAAAAAAAAAAAAAAAAAAAAAAGAAAAAAAAAAAAAAAAAAAAAAAAAAAAAAAAAAAAAAAAAAAAGAAAAAGAAAAAAAAAAAAAAAAAAAAAAAAAAAAAAAAAAAAAAAAAAAAAAAAAAAAAAAAAAAAAAAAAAAAAAAAAAAAAAAAAAAAAAAAAAAAAAAAAAAAAAAAAAAAAAAAAAAAAAAAAAAACCCCCCCCCCCCCCCCCCCCACCAAAAACAAGAGAAAAAAAAACAACACCCAAAACAAAAAAAAAAAAAAAAAAAAAAAAAAAAAAAAAAAAAAAAAAAAAAAAACAAACACAAGCCGGGCACACACACACCCCCCACCCCCAACAACACACCACACAAAACACAAACCCCCCCCCCCCCCCCCCCCCCCCCCCCCCCCCCCCCCCCCCCCCCCCCCCCCCCCCCCCCCCGCGGCGCCCCGGGGCCGCGGGCGCCCCCCCCGGGGGGGGGGGGGGGGGGGGGGACCCCCCCCCCCGGGCCCGGGGGGGGGGGGGCCCCCCCCCGGTTTTTTTCCCCCCCGAAACACAGCCTTAAACTTTTATTCGTAAAAAATATCTAGTGCTAGTGAGCTGCATCGCTTAAAGTGAGGGTAACTTATATATAGGGTATACCACAATGTATACCCACCCACTGCAAAAAGGTTCTTATTCAATCGGAATCCTTTTATGTTTGTCTATAAAAAGGAAATCCTTTATATATGATTTTTTGTATAGATACAATTTCCAGGTAATATAAATGAGCTCCAAATTTTTTTAAATAAATAAAAAATTATTCTTATTATAATTTTTTCATATTTAAAGAATCGTAACCATGGTAACTAGAAGTGACGAGAGACCATATTATAAATAAGACATCAAGTTTAGTAGAAGCGATTAACAAAATTTAATTTATATTGAGTTGTGCATGCTCTTATCACGAATTTAAAATTAAATAGATATTTGTAACAATTTATAGAAAAATGAAGTAGCCAAAGCACAAACAAACGTCGCCTAGAATGTATGTACCTATTATATATAAAATCTGTTGCACCAAATAAACTAAAGTAGTCGTTTGTCTCTTGTTATCAAAGCGTAGACACCAGTTAACAGAAAGAGACGAAAGATAAGATTAACGTTTATGAATAAGCGACCAACACAAATTGTATGAATTAATGCCTTCGAGCTGTCAATAACTGACATTATACGAATAAATGACACAACTAAAATTCTTTTACCGGTTAGTTACCGTTTTTTAATAAGAGCGTAAAATTCGACATTGTTAAGACCGTAAAGATGCGGTTTGGCTATAAATAGTATCGCAGTAAATTTACGCAAATTCTTTAGCAATATTATTCATACTATTCAATACATCGCAAATACTCGCCGCGTACAATCTCATATCGTCATTTTTAACAATTTTCAAACTTGCACAATACAATTTTTTGTACATATCTGTCATTTTTTCATAGTCTTTGTTAGTCTTCGATCGACAATACTGAATAATTTTTTTTAATATCTGATGAAGTCTGTTTTCGAATAATGAGAGTAGGCCATGTTCATTTTTGAGCGATTTTTCATCGCACTCCTCAGTTCTTGTGTCTTTTTCTTCGGGATCGCGATTTTTTAATAGCATCAACACGGAGTACGACTGCTGTAAGAGTTCTAAAGCAGTTTGTAAGGACTTTAGTTTGACGTTTGGAGATACTGAAAAAAAAAACCATTAAATTTTCGTCCGTGTAAATATTGTGATTCTCTACAATAAATTACTGTTCTAATAGAAAATCGTGGATGGCAATTCAATTTCTTACTTTGTGCGTGCCCTTCCATAAGAGCCACGTGTTCCAACCTCACTCCGAGGAACATAAAAATGTCCTCAAGCGCCGCAAAACGAACAGATGCCTCTTGGTAACTCGTGCAAGTTGCATGCAATAACGTACGACGTTTGGGACCGTCCTCTGTCGTCAATCTATAGAATAATAAATAAAAAAAACACTTTGAATATTTAAATTAAGAACTTCAAATTTATGGCTATATAGACAATAGAACATTTGAAGATTATAACAGTATTTAATCTCCTTTACATTAATGTTATTATAAAATCGCTTTGATTCCTAATTCAAATGTTGAAAACCTATAAAAAGTATTATGACTGTGATCATGATTTTTTTTATGACAATAGTTTTCGGAAGGAATTCAAAGGAGGTGCGGTATGGTCATATTAGGAACAAGAAAAGAAAATATGGTCGAGGTCACCCATATCTTCTCCACACTCACAAATATTACTATCAACAATACGAAGCCTTGCTAAATGATGAGGTGTACATGTTCTAAATGAATTCTGGAAATGATAGAAGTGACAATTTTAGAACTTTTAACTAAAAAACCATGGATTTTGGGTTGAATTTCAGCATAATGTTTGAACTCGCTGCTTGTCAACCATCACATGAGTTAAGCTGAAGAAAAATAATATTGGACAAGGGTGAAATTTTGGAAAACGTTTCTGTTGCTTGAAATCATTAATTCAATGTTACATACCTAAATTGTGAATGGTACAACGATCCCAACCGGTGATAAATCATGGCGGCTCTAAACTGGTAAAGATACTGCCTCGGACCGGGGCTTAGAAGACAATACTTGAGCGCGTGTTTGAATGCATCAGCTACTTCCATTACTTCCTGAAAATGAAATCATATTTCGTTCTTGGTTTAGGCCAGAAGTTTTAAATAAAACGTTATTAACAGATAGGGGCCGTTCAAGTGTTACGTTAGCAGATTTGCTGCAATTTATCCCCCCTCCCATACCTCTTATCAGAAAACGAAACAAAGCTCTCAAAAATAATAGTACATAAACGTATTAATTTTTTGTAGGAATCCTCGAAAATGCATTTCGTTTTCAAGCATAGACAATGTGTGGATGATACTGTTGACGTAAATAATTACTGTTGACGTAATCGCCAAATAATAAAATCAAAGACCCCCTCCATCAACCCCTATAATGCTTACGTAATACTTGAACGGCCCCATACAAACGTGAATTTATTAGATTATACACACAAGTCTATCTGATGACTTGATATGGCAGCCTCTCGCTGACCAGAAATGGTCAAAAGCACTCGAAACGTCAAGTTATGTCAATAATCTAACAATTAAACGTTTATATTAAAGAGGTGCTTTTTCGCTCAACCAATAAGTATCGCAATACAGCGAGGAAATTTCAGCATTAAATGTTCAATGCCACAGGGACAGAATTAAATAAAAATATTTATCTATTTTTAATTATTACCATTACTATGTAGTTTAGTTTACTGTATATTTGTGTGTTGGAAATAAATATAAATAGTTTTTGTATAAATTTATGTAAAAGAGATTCTATAAGTTTTATATCGACGAAAAGGTACCTACTGCTGTATACAGGTTGTCCCAAAAGTCGACGTCAAGTCGAAATTTTCTCATAGGTAATGCCACACCAGTTATCAGAAAAATTAAAAAAAAAAATTAAGTCATGTATTTTTGAAGTTATGGAAATTTTCCTTTTATTCCAGAAAATGTACACCATGTGACAGTTTTTTCATTTTTGTTGTTACAAATATTTACTAGACTTTTGGGGGTCTAGTTTTCGGTCCGTAGGAACTACCTAACCACTACCCTACACGTGCCCCCTGGGTGGTGCCAAATGAATAACAACGCCGGGTCTCGGGCGGCGGTAAATTAACCTGACCAAACCAGCCTAACCAGCTTGGTCTAACAGTGAGAGTAGGAAATGACTCCCACAAACCGCAACCCTGCTAACGCTGCTCGCAGGATCGGTAGTCTTGGCTTAATTGCCCGGACTATGAAGAAGACAACTTCTATAAAAAATCACCCTAAGTCTACGGTGAGATTCGTGCCAAGAGACTGCATGGCTGGTGGGAGACCAGTCGCAACGATCCACTTCGACGGACCTGGCAACCGTCGTTGTATTAGCCTTCTAGGGAGAATAGGCGTCACCTTCCTAGTGACCTGTTATATCGGCCTTACTCGTGGGACTAAAATGAACCAATTAATTACAAATAATCAACAAACCCTACCAAATTCTAAAAACCGACCAACCCTAATAACATGATCCAACAAACTTTGCATGAAAGCATGTTTGTACGGAACAGAAGCAACTCGACATCGTCTCTGCCAGCAAAGCTTAAAGACTCCAACCAACATAACAAGGAAAAAGATAACCTGGATCACAGTCCGAGACCCAATTTGACAGTGACAACATAACGTCATACGAATGGCAAAGGGATGAAATTCCCATCAGGAGAAAGAAAAGGAAAGAAACAAGTCCAATTCACAAGACGGATTAAAAAACAGAAAAATTCCCCAGATTTGTGATCCCTACACGCAATAGTTTTGAACTACTTGATAGGAGCCTACGGAAGAACCAGCAATACAGATAAAGTGTATGTACCAAAGCCAGAACCCATCTTTGTTACTGGCGTAATTAACGTAAACTCCCTTAAAGATTACTTAACAAATTTATAAAGAACGAACTTTACATCATGACCACACTTAGATCTGGACACGTTATAAAAATTATACCTAAAGACATCCAGACATACAAAATGATCCGAGAGAACTTCATTGCCAATAATATCTCACACTACACTTACCAGCTTAAAAGCGAGAGAGCATATAGAAAGTACTACGCGGACTCCATGCATCAGAAAATACCACAGAAATTTCAAAAGAATTATATGAAATTGGACATGAAGTGAGACAAATAGTCAATATCAGACATCGTGTTACAAAGGAACCGTTGCCTGTATTTTATGTCGATTTAGAACCAAAGCCAAACAACAAAGCCATTTTCGATGGATGATGGATACTTGAATAACATGAAGATTACTTTTGAAGCCCCATATAAGAAAAAGGAAATCATTCAGTGAAGAGTGTCAGAGATTTGGGCATTCCAAGAACCAAGTTTTAGGCCCCGTGTGTTAAATGCGGTAGCGCTCACCCCACAACAACATGTACAAAAACCAGACACTGAGGCTACTTGCGCGAACTGTGATGAAAACGACCCGTAGCTACAAAGGATGCAAAGTGTACAAACGGTATAGAGAAAGAATTCTTAAATTAGATCCTAAGTCAAAAGAAAAACCAATGCCTAACAAAGAGACCAAAACCGGTCCCCGCCTGGGTACTAAGACTAACCGAGAGACAATCAAAGCTTAACCAAAACTTATTCAGAAGCAACAAAACCAAGAACAAGAACTCAGCAAGACACAAAGAACGACTTGGGCGACTTTTCTGATTTAATGGACATAATGTTTGAAAAACTACAACATTCAATGGTGACAATGATGGAAAAACTCATGGACAAAATGATGGACCGCATGGTCCAGTAGTCAGAGCCTGGTGAAAAAATGACCCGAAACCTCCAAGTAGTAACTTGGAACGCCAACGGCTTGACCGAAAGACGTCAAGAATTAGAAACTTTTCTCAGAACAGAAATGATTGACATAGCACTAATCTCTGAAACAAGATTACACCGAAAACACACATAAACTTTAATAATTATACAGTATACACAACCAATCATCCATCTGGGAACAGCCATGGAGGAACAGCAGTAATTATTAAAAACAACATTAAACACTACCCAATAGAGGAATACCGACAGAAAAAATACAAGCTACATCTATTAAACTTGTAGACAGAAAACTAGAAACTACATTCTCCGCTGTGTATTGTCCTCCGAAACATACTATATCTTCTAACGACTTCGCGAAATATTTTTCTACACTGGGTAACAGATTTATATGTGCTGGCGACTGGAATTCTAAACATTTAAATTGGGGATCTAGGCTGAACAATACCAGAGGAAGGCAACTTTATAAAGCCACAGTAGAGATGAAATTGAATGTCACTCCGGCAGAGAACCTACCTATTGGCCTACCGACAGACAAAGCATCCCAGACTTATTGGACTTTTTTATTGTTAAAAACATAGATAGTAACTACTTAAACATAGAACCTCGAATAGATCTCACATCTGACCACACACCAGTTATATTGAATGTTACTACAACAGTTAATCTGGTAGCACCACCCTAAGGATATACAACTCGAACACTACAGACTGGACAATTTACAAAAGTATAATCACAACAGAGACAGAACTAAAGACCAAAATTAATACAATAGAAGAACTTGAAAGACAACTGGAACAACTTAATATGAATATTCACATTGCTGCCAATTCTGCAACTCCAAAAAGGACAGGTAATGGACAACCTCTGAAACATAACTCATATCCAAAGATATAGAGAAAATACACGAGCGCCGACGTTTGAGAAAAATCTGGCATACTACGGGATATCCAAGTGATAAAACTGCATCAATAGATACTCAAATGAACTCAAAGCTTTATCAGCACCCTAGAAAATGATAATATTCAACACTATCTCTCAAATCTAGATCCAACGAGAGACACAAACTACTCACTATGGAAGGCTACCAAGAATCTAAAGCGCCCGAAAAACCATATATCACCTATCAATGAGGAAAAGGAGGATGGGCTAGATCGAAAAGAAAGGCAACACTCTTTGCGGAATATCTGAAAACAGTTTTCCAACCACTCCCTGAAAACAATCCCGAACATACTTTGGAAATCAAAGAAACCTCGAGTCAGCGAATCAAATGTGTTTACCACTAAAAAGTACCAGCCCAAAAGAAATTGTGAAAGAAATTAGGAACCTCAAGGATGGTAAAGCACCCGGTTGACCTGATTGATGCCAATTACTTAAAAACTTGCCTCATAAAGGTATCATGAAATTAGTTAACATCTTTAATGAGCTTAGACTTGAACATTTCCCTGGGCAATGGAAAATTGCACATAAGTCATGGTGCCGAAACCCGGTAAACCCCACACGAAGCTGCTTCATACAGACCTATCAGCCTGCTACCAGTTATTGGCAAACTGTTTGAGAGGATATTGCTTAACAGGATGAAAGAACATCTAAGTACACTATTACCGAACCACCAATTTGGATTCCGGGAAAAACACGGGACAATTGAACAGGTACACCGTATAGTTGACACCATTAGCAGGTGCCTTGAACACAAATTATATTGCTCTGCAGTCTTTTTGGATATCAGCCAAGCGTTTGATAAGGTATGGCATGACGGCCTCCTGTTCAGCTAAAGAAGCATCTTCCACATTGTCTATTCCTAATATTGAAATCCTACTTAGAGAAAAGAGCTACCAAGTGAAGTACGGCGATGATCTCTCAGAAGTACACGAATTAAATCAGGTGTCCCTCAGGGTAGTATATTGGGCCCTATACTATACCTCATTTTTAAGCAGACATCCCAACAACTAACTAACCACGACTGCGACATACGCTGATGTACGGCGTTCTGTCGGCTCATAGCAACCCAGAAACGGCCTCATCACAGTTGCAAAACCACCTGATAGAAGTTGAGAGGTGGCTGAAGCATTGGAGAATAAAGCCAACGAGAGCAAATCGGTACATGTAACGTTTACTCTTAGGAGAGAAACATGTCCTCCGGTAACGCTAAACTGCAAAGTTATCCCTCAAGAAAATAACGCAAAATACTTGGGCATGCACCTAGACAGGAAACTTACATGGCAAAAACATATTTGGACAAGCGCAAACAACTGGATGGAAGGCTCACACTGAACTGGTTACTAGGACGCAAATCACAACTTTCCCAACAGCAAGATGCTTGTGTATAAAACCACCTTAAAACCAATCTGGACTTACGGGATACAACTGTGGGGAACGGCCAGCAACAGTAACATGATACTTGAAATCAGACCAAAGCTCTGAGAACAATGTTTGGCATCCCACATTGTATAGCAAAGGTACATACCTCGACCTCGGCCTAAAAACAGTTCGACAGGAAATAGCTCAAAACAGCCTGAAATACCAGGAGAAGCTGACCTCCCATGTAAATAAACTGGCACACGCTCTGAGCGGAGAAGGCGGTCTTCAGCATAAGCGGCTAAAAAGAAGGGACGTACTGAGCCTATATAAAAGATTTACCTCTTAACATCAAGAGAGTCGTGGCTCTATGTCGAGTATGGCTCTTGAGGAAAATGAACTGAGAAAATCAAACAAACAAGTGGCTTATGCTGATAGCAGATTGCCATGAAGCAGATACAACAAAAAAAAAAAAAAAAAAAAATTTACTTTTTGCCAATTTTTTTCTCTTACGTCATCCCGAATAGTGCTTTATGTAGCCTATGATCCTAAACCCTGTGCCGATCACTCCAACTTGTAGGAAAATTTCATTTTATACCGTACCGTAGAAAATTTCGACTTGACGTCGACTTTTGGGACACCCTGTATATCAAAATAAATAAATTTTACAAATATTGATTATTCTTAATCCTAGCCGCAATATATCACAATTATTAATATTTAATGATAGGAATTTTGTATCTTATACTTGGCGGTTACAAACAGCGGCAAAGCGTAGGCGTAGCGTAGGCGCTCTTTTGTTACCTCGATTTGAGTCTTTGGGGTCTTTTTTGACGTTCATAAGTGTACAAAACCTATCTCATATGTGAATAAATTATTTTGAATCTGTCTTTGTCACTTATGTATCGTTTTTTAACTTAAATAAACAAAAGGGTGCGTGTACTTATGTACGCGCGTAAGAAGTTATACTTCTTTGGCATTATTAAAAATAGTTTTTGATTGCATGCAAATAATTAATTACAATTAAATAATCAAAGACTGGAAAAGGAGACATTATAGTCAATAAAGTTCAGTTTACATTTGAAAAATCAAATAAATAAATATTTATTATTATTTTCTAATATTAATGAGTATTGATTTAAATATTCAATTTAAATCACTTCTGATTATAATTCAGACGCACATATAAAATTCGCACTTGAATAATGAAAACACGTGTTTTAAATGTAGAAACTCAAAGCATGTGTATTTATATTATAAATATAAATACACATGCGCCACTAACTTCATTCTGTTAATTTTGTGTCACGGTGCGCGCACCGTAAAATTTCACTCTCATCAATTTTTCATAACACGCTTAAAGAAGTATAACTTCAAAAATTTACATTTTGTACTTCTCTTGTTTCTTAAGTTCATAAGTGTGTTATCTTGAACAAATAAGTATTTATTTATGTGTTAAATGTAAATAATGTTTAAATTGATAAATCTATAGTACATACACATCCATACAAGTCCGGAAAGTCCTGCATCGATTCAGCTTTAGTGTAGAGATGACACGAGAGTTCCCAAGACACCAGATCCCAAACCGCTGCTGCTCCACAGGTCTCACGAGGACCTAGCATCTTCAGGGCATCCATGTACAGGTCTTCGGCTTTGCTGTATAGGCTACGATTTTCAGATCTAAAAATTTACATCTCCGGTTATAGATGATATGACGCGTAGCAAATAAGAATTATATTAGTTCGCATAACTGCTAAGGCGATTATATTTTCCCAAAGACTAATTGATTTGGTATCATGTATTATTCCTTGAGCTGTGCCGGTACTTAAAGAGATTCCAATTCCCAAAAAAACTTAATAAGTTTTAGAATTTAATATCACCACCCTTGTATTTTTATACTAATTGAAAATAAATCACGCCAATTTATGTCAAGGTTACTAAATTTAAGCCTAAATGTTGTATTTTGTTGTGTGTATAAAATAAGATCTCGCACCACAAGATTCGAGGATATTAAGAAAATTATAATACATAAAATAAATCAAAAGATGCGCTATTTGCATTATTTGATGACGAGGTAACGGCCAACTACGAATCTTCTACTTACCGCCGTTATTTAAAATCTCCGTCTTGTAGTACGCAAAGTATGTAACTAAGATCCACGCATGCGCTGTCACCCGCCGCGCGCCGTGACTTCTCGAGACATATTTCAAAGTGGCAATACAGATACTGGCAAACATCTTAAACATTAAACAATGGGGGGAAGTTTGCGCAGCGCGGGACACAAACGTCAACTGATTTACCAATCACGCGATCGACACGTCACGCGCACCACCGCCCGCCGCTCCTCCCAGTGATACCTAAAAATCGCTTCTGCGCAGGCAAGGACATTTGTTCAAGATGTTTGCCGGTATCTGTACGGTGGTCAACGCCCGCAGGGCGCACGTTCACCGAGCACCTCGTGTCGTACTCATGTTATTTTCATAGTCATTGGTTTCAATTTTATTTTTTTTAAACCACGCGGCAGCAAAATCTAGCCGCCAAATTGGCGCCCCATCTGAGGCCCATCAGGTTAACCGCGTATTTTATGAATTATGTCGTAAAATTACATTAGCTAGCGGTTAAATTGATAAATTACTATTATACTTACGTAGACCCATCTCTTTCACGATGCGCCTTGAATCTCATGTATCTGGCCTTATTACAGTACAAAAGTGCCAAATTCGGAACGTCCTTGACCGATTCGAATATCGACGTGGCCTCATCTAAGCACTCCGCAGACATATGCGAAAGGGATTTTAACTGGTCACGAATGTCTTTTGGAAATGCAGAGATTTCGCCAGCTTCTTCTGCATATTTCATGTAGAGTTCTAAGAATTAAACGGAGTTATAAACAACTTAAAAAAAAAGATTTTATTAAAATATTATCTATTTTTTTCTATAAATTCTTCGCAATAGAACCCATTATCCGAAGTGGTGTCAAAAAATTTACGATTCCAAGGTACAAAGTCAATTTGAATAGATTTAAAAAAAATATTATATATTATTATAGTATGAACTAATCTTAATTTTTTTATAACCGACTTCATAAATCGGAAGGAAGTGGTATACCCACAATTCAACGATTTTTTTTTTGTTTGGTCAAGTGTGAAGGAGTTTTTTTATATATATAGGAATATCATTTATTGAAATTGTCAGATGACACATCTGACCGATATTCAAATTATTTTAATTACTAAGTTTGATTTCAACTTTCAACTATAACGAAGTTTTTATTATGGCATGTGACAACGTCGTCTTAATGGTCATTGGTTGGTTTGACGACTCATTGGTCTAGTGGTTAGTACCCCTGACTGCGAATCCATGGGCCCCGGGTTCGATCCCCGGCTGAGACGAACATCGATGTGATGAGCATTTGGTGATGTGCTTAGGTCTTGGGTGTTTAAATATGTATTTATATGTCTATAATATGTATGTATATCCGTTGCCTAGTACCCATAACACAAGCTTCACCAGCTTAGCATGGGACTAGGTCAATTGGTGTGAATTGTCTTTAAAAAAAAAAAACAATAAAAAATATTATTTTGCAAAGAAACCAGTGGAAAAGTATATAACATACGTTGTCCATCGTTCATATATCTGACTGCGAGTGCGTTGCAAACAGTGGCCAAGCGCCGTTGCAATTCATCTCGCTTGTGCGCGCCACCCGGCACTGCGTCACTCGCCCTTCGGTAATACGCACACGACGACTTCATTGCTTCTAGGTCGCTTAATGGTAGCGATATATCTGTAATTTATTTTTAATAATTATACTAGTAGACTCGGCCAATTTTTTTTAAAAAAAAAAAGAAAAAAAAAAAAAAGAAAGGGGGGGAAAAAACACCCCGGGGGGGGGGACCCCCCTTTTGGGGGGGTGCCGGGGGGAAGGGGGGGGCTTTTCCCCCACGGCGCCCTTTGGGAGTTTTGGGCTTTAAATAATAAACAAAATTTAAATAAATTGGATATTGCGGTTAAAAATTTCGATAAGCTGTCACTTTCACGTCTTTAAGTTAGATCTAAACTGCATACCGCTTGTAATGTGATTGAAATACCATAGTTAGGTGATTCATAGCGGACAAAAGGACAGTAATTTATATAGGTATATTAAGATAGGCCAATTTTCTTATTTCGATTCCTTTCACGTCGTGAACTGGATGCCGTTCATGTATGAAATATTACTTGTGATAAAAAGAGAATTTTCAGTGATGGGCGTTCATTTAATCAATTATTTTGACTTTCATCGGAAGTGGGAAAAATTACCTTTATTAATAAATATACATTATACACAAAAGCAGATTTTAAACATATTTGATTGTATATTTAACATTAATCTTCCTAAATCGAAACGGGTTATTAAGAGAATACGTAATATTTTAATAAAAGGTGATATTTACAAGAGATAAGAATAACAAAAAAAATTTTTTTTTAAACGAGCCTAAGGAACGTCCAAAAAGGGAAGTCATCGCAGCCCATGGACACCCATTTTAGATGACGCGTTGCCGGCTTTTGAGGGAAGAGATACACAATTGGAGATCGTATAGATAGGAATGACCCCCACCGGGAGTCGATTCCACACTTGGCGAGTTCGCAAACGAAAACTCCTGTTAGAAATAAAAAAATATCTCTAAAAACTAAGAGGATCCGCGATTTATATTATTAGTATTTAAACTCACCCAAATCGAAATCTTTACACGCAACTTCAGTCTCATCCACCAAATCATTCTCAATCTCGTGTCGAATTTTCTTATCGATATCATGATCCATCTCCAACTGCTTCTGGTACTGTTCCAGATTGGACCAATGTTTGCTGAGTTGAAAGAAATTATCCCCAATCCTTCCAATAAGACATGACACATCCACAACTCTACTTTTGATAATCATACTGCCTAACAATTTCTGGCATTTGCTGGCAAGTTCTATGTATTTCAAAGAAAACCCATATTGTTCGTGGGCGTAACTATATTCCGCTAGGGTTGCGTATGCGAGACATATTTTCTCATATAACAACGTCTTTAAATGCAGTTTCCAGGCGAAATTGTCATCCCTATTCGGCTCATGCCAATTTGGAAATGTGTTGTTCTCTTTGCGTATGAGAATCGCGTTTTCATCAACATTCGATTTGGCTTCGATTAGGTAATTCCCAGTTTTCTCTGAGTGTTTTCTTTCGCGTCTCCGGCGTCTGCTTCTTGATACGTGTTCTTTCGGTTCTTTCTTGTTCATTGGCTGATAGTCCATTTTGATCGGCTCAAACGGGTTAGCCATTTTCGGGTGTTGCTCTTCGTTTATTATTTGCTCTTTGAGACGCTCGCGTTCCTCTTCCTATGAAAATTTGTCATAACTTCATTTAGAAAGGCTACCGTAACGTGCTAAGAAGGGTAGTAAGGGTATCATCTCTGAGGTGTAGGTTCGATCCCCGGCACCAATGGACTTTCTTTCTGTGCGTATTTAACATTCGCTCGAACGGTGAAGGAAAACATCGTGAGGAAACCGGCTTGCCTTAGACCCGAAAAGTCGATGGCGTGTGTCAGGCACAGGAGGCTGATCACCTGCTTGCCTTTGACAAATGATCATGAAACAGATTCAGAAATCTGAGACCCAGACCTAAAAAAAGGTTGTAGCGCCACTGATTTATTTATTTTCCACTGGGTAAATTTGACGAAATAACGACTTTGTTTTACAATAACAGTATCAGCATATCAAATATCAAAAAAAAAAGTCAAACAATTCTTAATAATTGGATTATTAATTGCATTACTAATAAAATCCTTTTTAAGCTCACCTTGGCCTTATCAATAGTAAGGTGATGCAGGGCTGATAACCCTTTGAGTGCATGTGACAATGCTCGGCCACATCTTTCCGAAACTTCTACGCCCAGACCCGAACTGACCGGCTCTTTCTCCTTTCCACTCTATTAAAAAACAAATTATTATATTTTAATACAAATACTAAATTTATTACTTAATGTCAAAGTTTATTTCGAAATGTAAAGATTATTATTAACAAAAGGTTTAAATCGAGTTAAGTTATTTATATGTGAAAATTATTAATAAAATCTTACACCAATATGTTGTGTGTTCTTGTTCCCTGTATCCTTTAGTGTCAGACATCTCACTTGTAAGGCGAGACTGTCTCCTTTTGCCTCTAAATTGTCCTCAGTTTTCTTCTCCTGGTCAATATTTTTACAAAGATTATTGGGAGGCTAGTATTTAGATTAAGATTACATTACTTATCGCTTATTTGTACCTACGGCTCGATTATCTGCTACTTTTAATGGTCCAGTGAATAGGCTATTTCGCTCTTACAACTTAATTACAACGTTTCGTGATCACCTAGTGACTCTTTATACCTAAAAGTTACCATTATGAGGTGTAAAGTACTGGAAAATCGAAAATAATACTAACAATAACGCGTAATTCAATCCCCATCCCGCATCGGAACGTTTTACAAAATATCGCAAGATATGAATAAAATAAGTAAAAGATACAACATAATTACTGGTGCAGCAAATACGTCACGAAAATAACCGACTATACGCAATAGCGTTCAAATAAGAATTGTTTTTTATGTAATTACTAACACTATTCTGAAATGAACATTTTCTTTTCTGATCTTTCTTCTTTCCATTTATTTTGTAAATATAAAAATTACCTCTCTCTCTTCATTCTCCGTGTCTCCCTCACTATTTCTATCGACGTTATCATTAAACTCAGCTGAGTTTCCGAAATCAGAATCGTCGTCCGGCTCTAGAATTTCATCTAAAAAAATCACAACATTTGAGGCCTGGGTCTCAGATTTCTGTATCTCATGGTCAATCTAATTGGCAAGTAGGTGATCAGCCTTCTGTGCCTGACGCATGCAGTCGCCTCTTTGGGTCTAAGGCAAGCCGGTTTCCTCACGATATTTTCCTTCACCGTTCGAGTGAATATTAAATGCCCATATAGATGGAAAGTTCATTGATAGTCCAATAATAATAATTATTACATATATGGCTTTAAAAAATAATAAAGTTTATAGTCACAACAAAATCATCTAATACTAAGAAATTTTTGTCCTTTGTAAAATTAAACGATTTTAAATCAAAATTTTGTCAACGTATCTAAGTAAAGGTTTTAAATAATCCTTAATTTTACAAACCTTTAAAATCCGGGCACGCGGGATTAGTCGTCGCCGGTACATACAAATCAGACAACATATAGTGGGATGAAGCGACAATCTGCGGATATCTTTCCACTTGCAACAATTGCACTACATGTTCCAAAAGTTGGCGGACATGTTTCGTCCGATTCATAATTCTCATGTTACGGGCAACACGGTACAGTAACATCGCGACTGGAGTCGTGAACGGATTGTCGAGACTGTCGGGACATAGCGACGTCAGATCGTAGAGCTTTACCACGTCATCATGGGGACCTGAAATGGGCTTTTGCTTTACTAAGCAGTTTTTCTAAAAGCTTACTTGTTGTAGTACGATGTTGACTAAAGATTTTAAAGTGAAACTTTTATTACATCATCTCAAACTTTTTCGTCTGTGTGTTGCATGTCGCGTGACGGTCGGCCGCGGAGTAGGGATAAAGTGAAAGGCGCTCGTCATAGCAGCCAAGGCCAATATTGCGGCGCCTATATTTCGCAGCAGCTGAGTGTAGTGTATAGACTATTATTCATTTGGATAGCTATTTTGTTTCAGTGTTTAAGAAAGTTATAGTGTTAGTGTAAATGTTGTAATTATATGTATATATAATCTAAATAATTGTTAAGTATTATGATTGACTTTAAACAAGAGAAAAAATATTAGTTGGAGACTTTCTACTTTTATTATTTCCCATTATTATTCCAATTTTCCAAGTATAACATTAAGATTGATAAAGCGATTTTTATACCCTTAATGGAATATTATTCCAAAAAATTTTAGTTAAATTTCTATAATGTGAAAAAAAGTTTCACTTTTACCGTAGTTTCATAAAACCACACAATCCTTTTGACGTGACAACGTCTTATAATTCGATGGAGCCAGCTGCACGCATGAAAAAACATGACTCATGCGGCGTTACCTCGCTCAGAGGCGTTCCATTTAAGGCTTGAAGTGCAAGCGAGAGCGCGGATACATTTTTTGTGCCTCTTTGTCGCTCGCAGAGGCGCAAAAAAATGCAACCATTCCATTAGTATTTTCTTATGACGTTGTCACGTTCAGCTATCGTCTTTACAGACAACCGATTTTTTCTATCAATAAACAACACAAAACTTTTAGAATTCGACCCAGTTGTTTCTGAGTTGAGTGCGTTTAACCGAACTAACTCTAGCTATATATTATTGCCTCAAACAAAAAAATACCGGATTAAATCGGAAAATAGCCATACTCAGACTTGTGGATTCAACAGTAACCATTCAGTACATATAAATCTAAAAATAGTCATCTTATGAAATTGCCGGACATATCATAAAAGGATCAGTTTTACGACAGGGCCACGACATATATGGAATCGAATGTATGTATGAGTAGGATAAATTTGGCAAACGGATTAAACTTAGAACTAAAATAACGGACTTAGCTAATAAACTTACCTTTAAACAACCAATACGTATGTCCAGACTTGGTGACATTGGATTTCAAAAAGGATAAAATATTTTGGGCGACATTCCTTATGACTTTTGGTGAAAACTTGGAGTTTTCCATATTAGGCAGATCTTCGGTTTTCATTGGCTCATACTTCTGTACAATGCCGTCTAAATGATAGCACATTAAGACTTCTGGAACATTGCACATTAAATTGTCCAACCAGTAGTCAATTCCTGGAATTTAAAGTAAAGTTTAAAAAAGGGTGCGTGTACTTATGTACGCGCGTAAGAAGTTACACTTCTTTGGCATTATTAAAAATAGTTTTTGATTGCATGCAAATAATTAATTACAATTAAATAATCAAAGACTGGAAAAGGAGTCATTATAGTCAATAAAGTTCAGTTTAGATTTGAAAAATTAAATAAATAAATATTTATTCTTATTCTCTTACATTAAGTGTAATAAAAATTCTATTATTATTCGAATGTTGTTTTTAAATTATGTCCAATGCCATAGCATCTTCCGTGGGCAGCTTCATTCTGTTAATTTTGTGTTACGGTGCGCGCGCATCGTAAAATTTCACTCTCATCAATTTTTCATAACGCGCCTAAAGGAAGTATAACTTCAAAAAATCACTTACTACCAAGCACTCGAAAAGTACAAAAATAACAATACTTATTATTTGTATTGATTGGCCTTGAAGAGAATTAAAATTAGTGTCAATTTTATTTATATACAAATTGTTATAAGTTTAATACTCAGCGCTACTAGCTTTTGGAAGAGTGCGCAACAATTAGTACGGGAGGTAGCAACGTTTTCGAGAAAGAATTTTTTATAAAAATTTCAAAGTATTTGGCAAAGTGGCAAATACATTTTTAGTTTTTCTTATATTTAAATAACATAATATTAAAATTACAGACATTCTAAAATACTTTGAAATTTTTATAAAAAAAAAAACTTAAAATCGCGTCTGGCACATAGTTAGCAATGTGAAAAATGTCTGGCAATAAAAAAAGTATGTCAGGTAGACTTATTTAAAAACGAAAAATTAAAAATTACGCTTCTTAAAATGCTTTTAAAATCCAGGATTATTACCGGACAGATAGGATGCGCACTAATGAACGCAACCGCTACCGCCAGCCAGATTGCCCAGACTCTAACCGAAAGTGCAAGAAGGAAGACATATCACAAAATCAGCTGACCTGAACTTCTTTCTTTTCAAACGTTGCTACCTCCCGTACTAAATATTTTTATTCTCGTTTAATATTAACCAAGCAGACGTTAAGAGACCTAGAAAACATTTAATAGGAAAACAATACATTGTCTTAAATAAAAATCCTCACTTTCACACCATCACACAGCACTGCCGAATTAGTTATTACGAATTTAATCATTTTTATTAATCTTTTTCTTTCGTAAATGTATGAACCTTTTTGTATATATTATGTATTCCATCTTTGGCTATATGTATAGTATAATTGTTACGTAGGAGTACAAAATAAAATAGAAAAACTAAGACTCGTGGAAAATACAAATGGTATGGAGTTTGATTAGGATCTGCATTTCTGAACTATTTCGTTCATTATGTTATATATTACAACATTTCATAGCAAACATTGTACACCTTTTAAGAATACAGTTACATACAGTTTGAATATATGAGTTCTGTGTACCTGTTAACACATTGATAGGCTCCCTTGCATCTCGCAGCCTCAAACTAACGCATGGTCGATCCTTATCGCCAAATATCGGGAGATTGCTGCCTATTAACATTTGAATATCTTCAAAGTTCCATAGTACATTGCGGTTATATGAGTCCTCAGGGGTCGATTCTTCTGTACGTGATTCTGGTTCCGGTAGGTGCGGACCTATTGTGGCAAACGTAAAATAACTAAATTACAAAACTATTAATTTAGATAATGATACATAACCACACATTCGTCTTCTTTAATTACAAAATTAGAGATCAAAAAAATTAGATTCCTGTTGAGTTTATAAAACTTTTGTGCTGCAATAAAAACAGCAGAACTAAATAATGCAACGAACATGATGCTACAGTAAACTTTATTAGCATTATCAAATTAAATAAAACTGGAAGGGAAGGACAGTACCGGCAGCTACTTTATTACATTCATTAAATTTCAAATCATTATAGATTGACACATAGTGAATTAAATTTGGTGTTAGTAGAATCGCCTAAACTAACCAGAAATCCAATCAGGAGTGTCTGGAACAGGCGCAGGCAACGGCTGAGGCCTTTCAAGCAGACTGTGAGACAGGAACTTCTGAGTCAGTTGTAATGCACTTGCACTTCTTGCTGGAGTTAGAGACATACGTTCCTACAAACATAATTCTGTTAGATTTTCTCAGAAATTCTTGTAAACATTCTATATGAATTATTGTAAACATTCTATAGGAATTATTGTAAACATTCTATAGGAATAATTGCAGACTTCTATGCCGTATGGCTTATACCTACTATTTATCCAAGAATGTATTTAAGAAATATATAATATTCCTCTTTATGTAGTTCATTAATGTTAAGTTTACATGTTAATGCTAACTTCATCTTCACTATTCAAAAGGCAGTCTTTCATTTTCAAACCAACTAAATATTTTTTAAATAAAATTAAGACCACAATCAGAGGTTACTACTCAAAAACTCTGATGTGTAATTTAGCCTTCACTATAAATAATGTACCTTCTCAGACATAGTTTTAATTATGTTTTCATAGAAGAAATCCTTTAACCAAGACCATTCTGACTTCATCAGGTAGTCATAAACATCAAAGTCATCCAATAGCAGTGTATTCTGTACTCTATGCACCATCATGCTTACCTGAAAATTTTTGATTATCTCAAGAAACTATTATATTATCTAATAAGCTGTATGATTTGTCAAACTTTTATATTAGATGTTTTGGTTTAATCATGTTTACTTACAGTTCCATTTGGTTGATAAGGTAATTTAAGCAATTTCTTAATGCACTCAGCGTCAGATATTAAATCGACTTCACCTACACAATCGGGAAACATGTGTGCCATTCTGAAACTGATCATCACTTCATATTAATTAGATTCTCCCGTATCGTAAAATATTATTTTATAAAGACAATAGCATTTTAATGACTAATTATAATTCAAATATTTTTGTTTAGAAATAAACCTTCTTTTTTTTTAATTGGTCCCTATATTTACCTTGATAAGCCTGTACCCCTCGTCAAAATTTGTTTCAAACCGTATGTATCTATCCCTCCCCAGTTAGAGGGAGGGAGATTAAGGTCAGTGTTGCACTGCAGCCGAGCATACCCCACTGGACTTTGAAAAGCGGTGTATTTGACCACAGCTGTCGATTTTACATCAGGAGATGGACTCCGGTCCTGGAAATACATACAGACATATATTTATCACATTCGTCAAAATATTATTTTGGTTAATTCAATATCAGTATCTTTCAATATGCCAATAAAGATTACTATAGAAAATTTAAATATCACACATGGATTACCTTGTCCCTTTTTATTTCATTTTCGGCTTCGTAGTCTTCCATTTTAGTATCTCAAACAATGCTGCTCCTCTAAAACTAACAAATGTTGGAACTGTAAATCTTAAAATAGTAAAAGAATCAGAAGCAGATAGCAGGTAGAATAAAATTTGTATTGCGGCGTATTGAATTTTTTTTTCTATTTTCATTCGCTTCATAACAGTCAGTTTTATTCTGGATGTCACTGTCATTTAGTTAAGTAGTATTATAATATGTCACATCTTACGGTTGCTAGATGTTCACATATCGTAATTTATTAGAGAAGGAATTCCATCGGGTTCCCAAAGGTAGGGCCCCCCAAAAATAAGCGTTTTTCGGGCCCATAAATATTAGGCCAATTTTTAGGACGGTATATTTTAATTCAGAAATTTAAATTAAAATGCCTGTTCGGGATTCAAGAATTGGCTCATAATTATTCTATACTTTCATTACACCATGACAACTTATTATTACATGATTATTAAAGATATTTATATTAAAAATTGAGCTTCTTGCGGTGTGTCTCACAGTCAGTTTCAGTGTTTCCGCACTGAAAGATAAAAAAATAGAAAAGTAATGATATTGTTAATACGTCGAATAACAGCCTTAACATAAAAAAGCCAAATTTCTGAACAAAAATGTTTAATTTTGAATGCGGCTGGAGGCATTTAAAGTTATCAAATAGTAGGATAGTTGATTTGAGTTTAGCGGTCATTTCATTTTAAAAGTTGGTGGCCTTAATAGTAGTGTATGTAAAGAAGTCGAAAACTAAAAGTGTATGGAAATGACAGTTCGTGTCTAAAAGTTTCACTACATAAGATAGTACATACATACTACTACTTGGTCTGTGGATTTTCCTTTTTGCTTTAGTAAAATAAATAAATGCGATTTGAGACTAAATAATAAAATCATTCATAACTATTGGTTTTAATTTTTTATATAGTCCTATTTGATAATTTTGTTATGGACTTAAAATTTTAATTAATAAATGATAACCTTTCTTTACTATCTTTCTTTAATGATTTTCAAGATTCAACTTTACTTTCTAACCAGGAACATGAACTTGCAGAAATGCTCTGTTGTATGAAACATATGTAGTATTTATTGATTACTAACAAATTAGAATGCGTCTCACGACTCGTTTATTGTCTTCAGTCATTCAGAAAAGGCCATTTTATATAACAACCCCAATATTTTATGTTAATGCTGGTAAGTTAGTGGTAATATATTAAAATCAGTATTTAATCTCGAGATGTTAATGTGAGATATTCATGCTATTTCAGCACCTCATTTAGGACATTTGTACACTGCAGTTGTGGCAGATGCAATACAACGGTTTGAAAAATTAACAAATCCTGAAACAAATGTGATCTTTAGTACTGGTAGGGTTTATTTTATTATACTATTATTATCTCTAATCTATAGTTCTTAAATTAAACTTTCAAGAAAATTTGAGTAATTATCTCCATAAAATAATGCCATATAGTTTGTACCATATTTAAATGCTACAGGCACAGATGAACATGGTACTAAGATCCAGCAGGCTGCTGCTAAAGTGAACCTCTCTCTACCAGACTACTGTACAGCTATATCACAGGAATATAGAGATTTATTTAAAGATTTTCATGTTGAGTTTACCGATTTTGTACGAACTACAGAGGAGAGGCATAAAAAAGCTGTCAGGCATTTTTGGGTAAGCTGGGATTTTATAGTATAGTATATATATATATTTATTCAACTCAAAATTTATATAAAATTCACATGTTGGGTCATATATTTTCCTGAAAAGAGTCTTAATGAAAAGTCTTAAATTAAATCTTTATGATTTCTACTCATCAATCAATAAAAATGTACTTAAGCAGTTAGATGATAATAAGCAGCAGTTAGTAGAATTGTTTAAAAATCTGAAATAAAGTTATAAGTTTTTCTTTCATAACAAATTTCAGAGAAATTTACTTAAAAAAGACTATATATACAAAGCTAAGTATTCAGGATGGTATAGTGTGAATGATGAGGCATTTGTGCCTGATGCTCATATTAGAGTTGATGACAAACCTGATGGCAAGGTAAGTTAATACTATCTTACTACATACTTTAAAATTTAGCATGTAAATATTTGCTCTGAATAAAAATCTTTTACTATATTTCATCAAATTTGTGAATTATAAAAATTATATTTTTTTTTATTGGAGCAGTAAATGTTAAAATTAATCTCCTTAATTATATTAAATTAAATAATAATATATGGATTTAACTGAATCATAGCTTTATCCCTTCATTTAATATAAAAAGTTTAACCAAAAAGACTGAAGAGAAGTTTTTTTGGTTAGAGAACTATCAAGAATAAATAATTTAAAATAGAACAAAAAAGTGTTACAAAAGCAAATTCGTCACATTTCAACAAAATAAATCTTAAGTAGGACCTGGAATTCATATTCCATATAATATATTATGAGGCTAAACATTCTGTTTAGTTCCTTTGGTTTATAATAGATTGCGCTGAATAATGTTGCGTGATAAATTAGTACAGCGCATTCATAGCAGATGGCGCCTTATGGCAAAATCAGAAATACAGAACGCGATATTAAAATGATTCTTAACTGATATACATAGATTCGTAGAGTGTGTTAAAGCATACTTACCTGGCGTAGGGGTTACCGTGATCATCAAGGCGGTTCCCCCAGAGCGAGACTCCTCCATTGCACTGCGGTTGAGTTGACCTCTGCGATTATCCCTAATGTGGATAACTCGGACGCGAAATTTTTGGTAGTGGGGACTGCGTACGCGCCGTCCCCCTTTTTAATTAAAGGTCATTTATTATGATATATGACATATGTTAACACTTAATAATATATACGTACTACGTAGTGTTACTGTTATCTGTTTATTTAAGGAACAATTCATAAAATCAATCGAAACGATCATCCCACAGTGAGATACCAATTACCATGTTTTTTTGGTTTTCACTATATAGACAAGCAATCATTAATCAATTAATATACTGTTTTGTATAATACACCTAACGTAAATTTTTTTATTGTTTGGTAATTTTAAAACGGCAATAGGGGAAGGGCTAAAAAAATATTTCGCAGTGAAGTATTATAGATCGGCAGTTACAAATTACCTTTCTAGAAATAAGACCGAAAGTTGAACCAACTTTGACTGCAATTTTTGAGCAGAATCCATCCAATTCATCATTTGAATACACAAAATAAGTTGATCAATACTTTAGAAATTTCATACATACGAAAAAGTATTTACGTTTATTATAGACCAATTAAATTTTAGGTGAGAGTGTCAGTAGAATCAGGACACAAATTAGAATGGACAGAGGAGACAAACTATATGTTTAGATTGAGCGCATTCAAGCAGCATCTCAGAGAATGGCTTCAGACAGGTACTACATTCTAAGCGAAACCTTACTTCAGTTATCAAGGGATCTGTTTCGACAATAGGCCCAGATATTCTTTCTGCTATTACAATCTTAAACTTACAAAAATTCTCAAAATATAATCCGCAATAACAATAATTTTTCTTAAAAAGTAACATGTATAGCGATAGATTTTCGAAAACAATTATTGACGAATAAAATGTGATGCTATATTTTTTATCATATATTAAATATTGGGTAGTAATTGTTAGGTTTATCATTACCAGTGAATAGAGAAAATATTCTTCAATGCTGGTGGAAGTGGGGCCGTAAGCACTATTGGGAGATGGGAGTCTTTGATTTTCTTATTTGGTGACTAAGCCAACAGTAATTATTTACTTTTTTTACACATATTACCCACACATTGTCTATGCTTGAAAACGAAATGCATTTTCGAGGATTTCTACAAAAATTAGTTAAAAAGTGTTATAGTGCATTATATAAATACGTTAAAAATACCGTAGGGAAGATTTAAGAAAACAAGTGGAACGTTGGAATAAGAATAACACGTTAAAATAAATGAAGAAAAATAAGTGAAATTTAGTGACCGAAAATAAGACTTGGCTTAAAGGTGTCGTTACCAGGCCATAACATTAAAAAAAAAAAAACAAAAATTAGTACGTTTATGTACTATTATTTTTGAGAGCTTTGCTTACTTTTGCTGACGGGGAGGGATAAATTGAGCAGTAAATTTGCTTACGGCCCCTGTATTCAAATTAACTTGAAAATATATTTACAGATGGTGTAGTGAGACCTAGCAAATTTCAAAAGCAGTTGCAAGAAATGGTTGAAAACGATGTATACCTACCAGATATTTCCGTCAGTAGACCTGCATCCAGGGTGCATTGGGCTATACCCGTAAGTATTTTTTAAGTATCATTAAAATTTCTGTTGTCGTCCTCTATTGTTTAGATATAAAGAGCATACTCCTCTCTCAAAGGCCGGGCAACGCATACACTAAAATGGGTGTCCCTGTAGGCTCGTTCGCCCCCCTATTTAAAAACTATCGTATATAAAAAACATAAATTTAAAACAATTTCCGGCGTACTATTATTATCCCGGGTAGATATTGCAGGTTGGCAATCTATGCATCTCCTAATGCAAACAAAATAATAATTTATTTATTTAATCCATTTGATTTATCGTTTATCAGAATTTCAATTCAGAACTTGTGTTTTTTTTTTAAATGTAATAGGAGGCAAACGGGCTGGAGGCTCATCTGATGTTAAGTGATACCGCCGCCCATGGACACTCACATTGCCAGAAGGCTCGCAAGTGCGTTGCCGGCCTTTCAAGAATTGGTACGTTCTTTTCTTGAAGGACCCTAAGTTTTGATGCGTCAACTATATTATATAACTGTATCTATTTTTCTGCTTAAAGTCCTTTAGTCGATTTTGTCTTTTCAACGTTCAATATTTATCGCCGCGCCGGTCGCTGTACTAACGATACTGACTGATATTATCAGGTGCCGGACGATGAAGAGCAGAGTATATACGTGTGGCTGGACGCTCTAATAAACTACCTTACTGTCTGCGGATACCCCGATGATGACCAGATGAAGGACAAGGGCAGACCTTGGCCTGCAGATGTACAAGTTGTCGGAAAGGATATATTGAAGTAAATTTGCTTTAAGTGTATTCTAAGACGAATTTTATTTAACAACGATAGAACATCATTTGGTTGCTATTATTCTGTCCACCGTATCCTCGACTTTACAATAATAAGGTTATACTTAGTAATAAATTAACGAATAAAAATAATATAATATTCGTGTATAATATACATCACATATTGAGTTTTGAGACGAATTTGTTACATTACAAAAAAAGGGTGCGTGTACTTATGTACGCGCGTAAGAAGTTACACTTCTTTGGCATTATTAAAAATAGTTTTTGATTGCATGCAAATAATTAATTACAATTAAATAATCAAAGACTGGAAAAGGAGTCATTATAGTCAATAAAGTTCAGTTTACATTTGAAAAATTAAATAAATAAATATTATTATTCTCTTACATTAAGTCTAACATAAATTCTATTATTATTCGAATGTTGTATTTAAATTATGTCCAATGCCGTAGCATCTTCCGTGGGCAACTTCATTCTGTTAATTTTGTGTCACGGTGCGCGCGCATCGTAAAATTTCACTCTCATCAATTTTTCATAACGCACATAAAGAAGTATAACTTCAAAAATGAGTAAAATGCTTTTATGTTTATATTAGAAATATATAAGTGGAGTTACCCTTCCCAGATTTCACGGCATCTACTGGCCAGCATTCCTAATGGCCGTCAAGTGGCATCCACCGCGTCAGTTGCTCTGCCATAGTCATTGGACGGTCGATGGCAGTAAGATGTCAAAAAGTCTCCACAACGTGGTCGACCCGAGGCATACGGTTGCGTCTCATGCTCTTAGATATTTAATGTTAAGAGAGGCAACAATGGGGGATGACGCTAGTAAGTTTTTGTATTGTTATAAGTAAAAAGAAATCGAATTAATGAGTATGTAGTAGACATTTTCTAATTTAAAGAATTAAATCACACTCTACTTTACCGTTAGGACATTGCATTATATATTATAATGCTATTTTGATTTTTTTCTTCAAATAAAAGGATTCATTAACGTACACCCAAACCTTTTTTTAAATATGCAGTTGAAAATATGCGTCAATTATGAAATTTGCGGTGAAACACAGAAATTTTATAAATTATTTACAGTCTTCAAAACAATTGTGATATTTGGCTACGAAATCAGACAATTCATTAAATGTACTAAGAAAAAAGTTGTCCGTGTAAATATTTTTATATAAATCGTTTATCTGTTTCTCACTCACAGTAGGTGTATACCGGGCAGATGATAATATAAGATTTTTTATAGATTATAGCGAAACAAAACTTATCAATATAGCGAACTCCGAGCTAGCAGATACTCTAGGCAATTTAGTAAGTAGAAGCTGTGGACCTGCCCTGAATCCAAGATGTGAGTTCCCCGCCTTACATCAGCAGGAATTGGCCGAGTGTTGCCAGCTCCAAGTGACGTCACAGTTATTAGATACAGTGGAAAGGTTGCCAGGTAAATTAATGTCTATAACCTTCATGAATAAAGTAATTATAGTAATTGAATGTTTTCTGTGTATTGTATAAGTTTGTGTTTAAACATAATATGTAAACGGTTAAATTAAATTGTGTTTAAAACTTTACCAATCCTTTATCAAAGTAGTTATTTTATAATATTTTTTACAGACATATGTCGCTCGCACTATTCAAACTACCAATTCTATAAAGCAGTGGATGCGGTCATACACGCCTTACATTTAGCCAATTTGTTCTTCGAAACTTTAAAACCCTGGGAGCTCAAGAAAAAACCGGAAAGCCAAAAAGAGTTAGATGTTGTACTCCATTTAACACTCGAAACTTTACGTATTTGCTCAATAATTTTACAGCCAATAATACCAGATATAACAAATAAGCTTTTAGATAAATTGCAAGTCGGGAAGAATTTAAGGAGTTGGCAACACTGTGAGAAACCGTCTTGGCGGTTGAAGGGCGCCATCTATGAAACGAAGAATATACAAAGCGGAAAGTTTGTTTTGTTCCCGCGTATTTACGTTGATAAGAGTAATGTGAAAAAGAAAAAGGCTAGTGCGTGATAATTTAATTAGTACAATTAATACCGTTGTTTATGAAATAATGTTTTAAATTTGTTAGGTACTGTTTGTAAAATTAGATCAATCTTATAATAAGCTGCACACTTAAACCTGTGTACATTGGGCGTGTTCGGCCGAAGTAAGTACTTACTAAACTTAGTAAGCCAGTAAGATAAAAAAAAGCTTACAGTGACTGAGGCTGGCAGACAGACTTACTGGCTTATTAACATAACACAAAACACCGGTTTATCATATCCCTACATAACCTCAAACTGAATATAATTACAGTACTAAATTTAGGAATATAATTTAATACCTTAAATTTAAATGATAATTTTATAGAAATATTTTATTGAATTTTATTGTCCTTTTTTTAATCAACAATAAAAAATGCTCTATATTAAGCCATACTTACTTTAGACTATTTTTTCAAAATTTTTAAGATATAAGTATTACTAAATTTATAAGTACTTACTTGAAACCCATTGTAAGATTATGATGATAAGTAATATATGACGTAGGTATTAGCAATTAAAAAGTGACGGAGAGTTTCTTGCCAGTTCTTCTCGCCAGCTCTACGCCTTTGATTTGGGAACTGGTAGTAAATGCTCATTTAAATATTCCTTTTTTAATATTAACGGTACATATCAATATGAATAAATTATTTAATGTACCGTTAATATTAACAATGCCAAATGATCTTATTAATTTAACAAATTATTTTATCCTCTTTTCTTCATTCTAAAGTAGTTTTCCCGGATTACGGCTAGAAATAACTGTTTTAATTATCTTGCAAATAATTTTGTTAGTCTGGGATAGCGTGTTCTAATGTAGAAGTTTAAACTCGGTCCAGTAGTTTTTGAGTTTATTCGTTACAAAAATACAAATCTTACCAATGTAAGTATATTTTGTATGAATACAGTGTTGTAACGTGCCTTATCTGTTCTTAATATTAGCATAATCGGGTTTAAAAAACCACATCAATTAACTTAGTCGAATGAGAATAAGCGATAATCATTAAAAAAAATTCTGCAGACAATCCTTAAGTTATTATGATTTTTAATACTTTCTCTTAATAAAAATGTGAGACTCGGTTTCCCTGTATATAGTTATAAATACTTTAATAAAGTTCCCTATATAGTTTAAAAATCCCACGGGTATGTTTAAAAATATAGTCATTAGGGGGATATAGACAACAAACCCCGTGTTTTAGCCTATTGATAAATGTCGTTATGATCTTTCAATAATCTGTGTGTGTAGATTATATATCCGTAGACCGTAGTATATTGTAGCTAGTCAATTAGTGTGAAATATTACAAATGTACAACATTATGTTCTGAAAATCTGTACTAGCTTTTGAATGTTACTGGGCGCACACATTTCCTTTTTTTAAATGAGATAAATTTATAAGTTGCAAATCCTACTAATCTCATCTTTCCTATTATAAAATGTAAAGAATATTTTTAAATGCTACGCAATTCTATATATAAATGGACTGTTAAGAATCAGTTAGTAATCAATAAAATTAATATGCGATAACAAATTGTTTCAATTCCCCGTTGTTATGTGCAATCATAAAGAATACGCCGAATGATTTTAACATTATTGTGAATTAAAATCATTGTAGGTTTTTTTATGTTACAGGAGGCTCACCTGATGTTAAGTGATACCGCCGCCCATGGACACTCGCGCTGCCAGAAGGCTCGCAATCGCGCTGCCGGCCTTTTACGAATTGGTACGCTCTTTTCTTGAAGGACCCTAAGTCGAATTGGTTTGGAAATACTTCAGTGAGCAGATGGTTCCACATAGTGGTGGTGTGCGGCAGAAATAACTTTAAGAAACGCTCAGTGGAACAACAGACGTCATGGTGATACGGATGGTATTTTATATTCACCCTTGACGTCCGATGATAAAACTCATTCAATCAGCTATTTATATTATATTGTATGCTAGAAACCTTATTGCTTACCAAAATTTATTACTTAGTTTTAGAATCTAATTAAAGTAATGAAAAATTAATCGACAATTCTCATAAATAAAACAAACACATAATCGGAGTCAATTTATTTATGAATACGCTTATTAAATTATAATATTTGCATCAAAATACTGCAATAACTAACAGTACCGAAGCTAATCTAAACTACTCGATCATCACACCCATTTATCATTCAAATACCAATAACAATACTTTTGTGCATTTGAATTGTTTGTGCGTCCTTACAAAAAATAATATCTCAAAATTTTCTGCCACAACTTATTCTTGAGTATGACACAGGCAACCATAAGTGGTACGGAACATTAAGTTTCAAATTAATAATTTATTATGATTATTAAAATTTGGGACCCTATATTGGTATGTGCTAAATTTGTTTATCAAGTTATCGAGAATATTCTTTGAACATAAAATTGATAGTAATTAAATTAATCAAGTTACATGAAATCGGTCCGTAGCCACTTTACGCATTATTGACAAATTCATAAAATTTTGCATTTGTTCTATCATCTGAGTTAATTTGCTTAAAACTGGGCTTGTTGAATCGAAAGGTATACATACAGCTAGTAGCTAACATTTGCTTTTTCAAAATTAAGTTGAAGATTAAGAAATGAAGTTATCGAAAAATACATTCATTCCCTTCTATACATGCCAATAGTAATGTGTAACCGTTTCTCAATAACGATTTTCTTGAATTGACTTTTGTTTACCTTTAGAAAACAACAAGTCGGTTTAACAAATAGATATTAAAGATAAGTTAAAATGTAAAATACTCAGAGACTCCGAAAACTGCAAACTTTTTATCAACCGATAGTTTAATAGGGCTGTTATAGAGTATTACATGTATGAAAGTACCCACAATACACCGATCTGGTACAAATACCGGCAAACATCTTGGATAAATGTCCTTGCCTGCGCAGAAGCGATTTTTAGGTATCACTTTGGCGGGCGATGGTGCGCGGCGGCGGAAGAGTGACATGTCTATCGCGTAAATGGTAAATAAGTGGACGTTTGTGTCCCGCGCGTCCCATACTATGCGCAAACTTTCCCCCAGTCCCTTGTTTAATGCTTAAGAAGTTTGCCGGTATCTGTATCGGTAGACAAATAAGATGGATGGGCTTCACGACTGTTTTCAATTTGTTTGTCTGGTGTGACCCACAATCAACGCGATATTTTACTTAGGTTTGTGTACGCGCTGAAACCCTACCCGATCAAACAATAGTTTGTTATTGGCAGATAAAAAAGTTTGCAGTTTGCGGTGGCTTGACTTGATAACTTTGTGCAATCCCTATTTTTAATAAATCTGCCCTCGAGTAGACGACACAGGTGTTCACAACACGATACACTTACACGAATAACATCTAAATCTATGGTAGTTTGAGCTGTGGAATGGACAAGCAGTCAGAACGGAAGAGAACCCTCAGCCTTGTTTGTGCGATTTTGGGGGAAGTTACGAGTTTTGAGGGTACTTTCAGAATTAAGAACAATAACTTTAAAACACTTGCACAAAACTCTGGAATATTCTTAGAAACTGTAGTATGGACGATATTGATGATTTCTGAGCTATGAAAATGAAACTGTTTACAATACTCCACAAAACTCGTAAAATTCCCCATAAATATATAGTTCCTTTGCTCTAAATATCTTTTGTAACGCCTTTTGAATAAATGGGTCAAAATAATTTACGCATTTTCATCAGAACATTAAAAATTCTATTGAACTAAGAATTGAACTCGTAGAGTGAGGCGTTACCAAAAATAATAAAATCAAAACCTCGCATGTTATTCTAGTTGCATTGCTATATAATGAAGTTCGCTGTACATGGGAGTGCTACACACTAACCAACATTACAATACCTAACAATAGAATGATTTATGTGTGTAGCACACCTTACGTTTGGCCAAACGAGACTAAGATTAAGTCTAAAAAACTGTAACGCCTCTAACGTATAGTTTGTTAACACGTGTCAAGTATTACGTCTCCTAATGCTTCTTCAGAAATGTTTACTATACAGTCACAAGCGTTACCTCTCAATATTTCTATACAAAATTTTAACAGCGAACGCCAAAGACAATAGGCATTTAAAAATGGTAAAATACAATAAAAGTAGACGTCAAAATGCATTAATACTTACACTAATACAATATGGAAGAAAACCGGCAATGTACACATGGCTATAACACACGTAAAAATAAATTTAAATTTACAATTTGACAAAGTTCCAAATAATTGTTTCGCGATTATCTTTTCATTTCTTTATGGACTTCATATTTAGAAAATTATACACCAAACGATTGTGAACTATGGGTGAAGAATAGTAAGAAAACAACTTTAAAATTAGCTGCTCGTAACTTCAACGATAAATGTATTAATTAATCTACGACATCGCGAAACACACGAATTAAAATTGAATTATCAAATCGACGAATATACACACCAAATACAAAAAATTTCGAGTTACCGAATCAACAATATCGATTCTAAATTATTGCTCGATTTATACTATAAAAAATTTGATACATTCCATTAAAAATATATAATTGCATTGCACTAGATTATGTCACTATAGCCGTAGACCAGAGACTTTGACTTGCATTTGTTATCTATGCCCCTAATATAATCTGTCTCCGACCAAAGACTACAAGTCTTCTAGATTCAAAAAGCCGTGTCTAAATTCCCCTTCTCTGCTATCTGTTGCATGGCATAATAAGCCCTTGAATATTTATGCAATAATCGTCTTTATTTAGGAACTTTTATTTTGAATATTTTGGGATATTTAAAAATAATTAGTTTTCGAGTTTAATTCATATAGATATGTTAACAAAGTCGATTTTCGCATAAATCCAGAGCAATTACAATTTCACTCGCTCACTCTAGTCACCTTCAAATTACGCCCAAAAATTAAAAATAATAAATAATATCATTAAAAATCACGCACTAAAGTGCTGGTAAATTAGATTAAGCGTTTCTAATCTAAAACCTGCGAATCAAACTTCATAATAAATTCGATCGAAAATAAAATATATTAAGAGAATCGCTTAAAACTAAATTGTTCATGATTGTTCTGTTTGTGGAAGGAAACTTCAAAACATTTTGACAGGTACTGAAGACAAATGCATATAAAAACGTACGTATACGAGGCAAAATTTCATTAGGCATAAAATATATTTTGATTATTGGACAGTTGCTATTAAATAATCCGTTTCCCGAGAAGAAATTTTGAATACAAAAATGGTATTTACGGTTAACAAATGGTACGGTGCATACAACATGTTTTCAATTATTTTCTTCTAGTGAACAGAGTATACTTTTTGTATTTTTTTAACCTTTTGACTTAAACAAAAGCCTTGTAAATGGGGTAGAAATATTTGTCTTTTTTTATTCAAAGCAGCGAGGAATAAATTAGGTTTATCCCTCTATTCATATTTTAAATTTGTCTATAAACTTTCGATTCGAATAACTAAAATATGTGCGTTTAAATATTGTACCATCGTTACCTACCCGCAAAATTGAACTTGCAACATTCGACTGTCCGACCAATTTTACAAGTCAATTATAAAACTACCCACAAAACATTCAGCTAACCACATAATCGGCTACTCGCAAAACTACCCACATTAATAGAATGTTTTCTCGATCTACCCGCTGAAAGAAATCGTATCTACCCACAAAAGCGGTCAGCTTTGGGGAGGTGGAGACGAAGGTTGCAGCAAATGTTCGGGGATGGGCACAGGCCTCAAGCGTTGAGGGACTTTTTTCTTGGGGCATAACACCTGAAACAGTGGTTTCGATATATATGTCTGTCGATAAATCTGAATGAGGGAAAAATCAGTGTGTACTTGAAGTCTAGAGTTAATACTGTAAATAGAGAAAATACTATTTATTTTATAGGATTAATCCTACGTCAAATTTGTTTTCCTATGGAAACTTATGGTAATTGTTGTCGCTGTCAAGTTGTAATTATATTTCAACAGATGACGTTTAGTAAAAAGCATTATTTGATATATTTTCCAGTGCCCAAAACGAGTATTTAAATAGATACCACCAAGTAATCAACATACATACATTATTTTGATTTATTACAATTGTAATGTTTATAAAGAACGTGGTCAAGCCTAAACTAATGTCATCTAGGAAATACTTTTGTAATTTCTGAAAAAGCGATTAATATTGACATTGACGCATTGTGTCAAAGCCCTGTCTTATATAAATATAAACTATTTAATTGAAGTGTTCATATTGAAATAATATTTTTTATATTAAATATATTGTATGATACCTTTCTAGCGAACACAAAGCATCCTTTATCGTCTTGTACAGTCTCGAGTGTAGCTTCTAGTTGTAGATCAGAGCTGCGACATTCTGTTCCAGTGTCATCTAAAAAAAAACATTTTTAAAAATTTATATTATTAGGAATTATTAAAAATGTAACCGGAAATGCTAATTAATTTTATTTACTAACATCAGATTGGAATAGAACAAAATCATATGTTTTTCTGACGTAAGCTTAAATTAATAAGCTACTAGCTTGTACATAGAGACAGACATACAAAAACTAATAATATGTATTCATAGATTACATAAATTAATGTCATAAATATTTTATGTAAAAAAATCGTCGTAAAGCCAGCGCATATACATTTAGTAGGAAAGAGCCTTTAAACTTCTTCCCATCTTATCACACATGTAGAAATCTCTTTTAAATATTACTATTAGTTAAAATAAAATAAAGTCTTTATTTATTCTGAATAATATTAAAAAGTAAACTTCAGTAGTCGGCGCAGGCCTCCTCGTGAGTTATGAAACAGTTAAAAAAGTTTACATTTATACCACCACAGTTTATTTAAACGTAACCGCAATTTTGTGCAAATTTGTAAGCGAATAATTTAACTTTCTACCTCCTCTATGATCTATGTAGTTTTTTTTGTCATTTAGTCTACTGCTTATATGGCCCATCTGGCTTTCAACGTTTTAGAGCGCGGCCACACGATGCGGTAACGGTGCGGTGCCGGAGCGGTGCCGCAACGTCATCCTACATACAAATTACTATACCATGTCACACGACGCGTCGCACCGCAAGCGCGCCAGAGTTGTGACCTGCGAGACAAGGCGGGGAGGGGTAAAATCGCAACGCCCGAGTGGCACCCTATTAGGTCCATTATTCCACCCTATAAGTGGAAGTAATTGCGGTGCGGCGCCGCACCGCACCGTTACCGCATCGTGTGGCCGCGCTCTTATCGAGTACAAGTCAACGTGCATAAGTAACACTCGCTTGTACGGTCAAGGAAACATCGTAGGGAAACCTGAATGCCTTAAGACTCATCAATACAAAGAAGGAAAGGTGGGACCTACTGGTGGTAGTCATACCTGAAGAAAACACATTTAACTCCGTAAAACAGCCGGTCTCTAACATTTCGGTCTGCCAAGGAATGGAGACGGAGCCCGTGCTAAATTTCCCGTAGAAAGTGTCGTCACCCGCGTCTAAGTTCACGCCCTTCACTGTTGAAAACTGTTCTATGTCAAGAACGTCCTTTGCGTATACGGCGTGTGGCTGGAATTGTTAAAATTCAATAATCTTCTAACTATATATCTCAGGATAATGTTAAGAATTAAACAAGTAAAAACCATCGTTAAAAACTTTAATTGTATATTTTACCGACGGTGTGTACATCCAAACACAGGGAACACTCACGGGAAAGAGTAACTTTCAAAAATCAAATATTATTTTTGTTCATACATAAAACAGATTAATGTCAATTTTGGCACAATGTGAAACTCCTATTTGTCAAACGTGTACGTTTGACAATAGTGTCAGATTGAAAGTCAAGTTTTAAGCTACGGTTTCCTAGAAAAGCGGTGCCGTTAACTAACGGCCGTAATGTAACGTTGGGTGACGTCACCCATACGTTGTCTATAAATAACATCGGAGTAGGTTTTATAGAGAACGTTAAGTGTCACCGTAACCTCAAATAGTGGTGCTGTCATTTGCATGACGGCCATCATAGCGGTGATAAACAGTAGTTCACCGTTTTTCGCGTGTAGCGGTGCGCATATTTAATTAATACAATGACTTGGACGAGCGAAAATGATGAACAATTAATTGATTTTGTTAAAAATAATGAAGATTTGTACAATATCAAGTCCAAAGAGTTCAGACAAGCTCAGGTGAAGCAAAATTTGTGAAACGGAATTGGAATAACACTTCAAAAATACGGTCGCACTACTTTCTAGGAAACCACAGCTTGGCCACCGTAAAGACGGCCGTTATTAACAACCGTAAAATGGCGGCCGTTAGTTAACGGCACCGCTTTTCTAGGAAACCGTAGCTTTAGCGTTAAAGTGTATTGTATCCTAAGTGTTAATGGACTTACATCAGGCACAAAAGGCGCATCGACCATTCCAGCCTCGAGTCTCGCCCAGTTGAGTCTGACAAAGAAGCGATGAGCTTTGACCTGACCCGCCCCTCGCTTGCCAGCGTTACTGCCAAGTCTACTCGCCGGAGTCTTTGCCAATAATGCACTGCATAATGAGCGTGCGCAATCACTGAATTTGCTTGAATACTTCTCTGGCTCATGCTGAAACATAATTAAATTACTATAATGAAAAGATACAACAAGCTCGGAAAAACTACAAAAAAACTAGATACAAAAGAATTGTTAAAATGATTTTTGTATGAAGTTTGAAAAGGCATCGTTTAGTATACGTTTTAAGTTTTAAATACTAAAATAGATGTATTATTAGGACCATGTTTAAAAGTAATTAAAATATCTTAAAATATATCGTGGAGACATTAAGGCCCATAATTTAAAAAAAAATTAAATTCCTTGGTTACGTTTTTTTATGTAAAAACATCTTTAGTTCACCTTTTATAAGACCGCATTAGTCTTACGTACGTGTAAATGTGCTCTTGTGTGCCATACCTTAACTCTCCGATCCACTTCTTCCCTCTTGACTTTCTCTTTCCTAGCGCGGAATGGCGCTCTACCCTCAATCATTTCATACACCAGGCATCCGAACGAAAACCAGTCCGGACTGTATGTATATCGCTCGTTATCTATCACCTGAGGAAATTACACGTAAATACACATTATCCCCTCACAACAGTATAACATTTCTAAATGTGACAATGACATTCAAAGAATATGAATTAATAAAATCCTTTACATGTGATATGAAATACATAAATATATTCTTATGAATCTTGATATTCTCGAGCATCTGCCACAGTTGCTCATTTGACTCGTTCGGGTGTGGAATTGACGTCAAACATCCGCCCGAAGTGGGATGGTCGAGTCGGAGTTGGGAATAGAACATAAAACAAGTTGTGGCACATGCGCACGAGCATACGTACACTTTGGTGAGGGGGGAGCTTAATAATCACATAATGGTAACTTTTAGGTATTTTGAGGTATTTGGTGTTGCTAAGGGGTACAAAAAACGTAGGCGCGTTACATGTGGGAAGTTAATAATCTCGTAAAAACATTTATTTTATATTTTAATTTCCCACCCCTGATCTAGTCTTTATTACTTGTATATGAATTTACAAATACATTACAGGTTTTAGACGATATCAGAAGCAATTGTAGTAACCATCAACAAAATATAAGGAAAGGGATAAACGGAAAATTTAACTTTTAGAAAACTCAGAAAGTATTACAATGAACAATGTAAAATCTTACCTCAGGTGCCATATACCCCACAGTACCAACCCGGCCTCTGACACTGCCCCCTTCGGGGACATCCACGGCCAGACCCAAATCCGAGATACGCACGTGACCCGCATCATCCAACAATATGTTCTCCGGCTTACAGTCTCTGAAATATATTAAGACAAAAATATATGGTCAAATAGTTTCGTAGTACGCGGTTACGATAAGGAGGTTAGGGACACTAAGGTCCGTATTCTTATATCCAGTCATAATCTCGTCCCAGGCTTTGCTATTTAACATTCAAACTAAAGCTTGATTAAGGTCTAGAATACGAGCTTAAAGTAAAATACTTAAATGTCAGTTTTATTCTTAAATAAATAAGAAGTGCTCGTTTTAAATACATACTTTTAATCGTAATCGTTGGATTTTTATACATAACATATTTAGATTTTTTACATAAAAACAGCGCCTTCATTAGATTAAAAAGTATATTAAATATAAACCAATTCCTCACCGATATACAATAGCCATCTTGTGCAGGTGTTCCAGACCACAGGCGACTTGTGCTGCATAGAAACGCGCACGTTCCAAACCCAGGCCGGTCTCTGCGCCCGCGCACATATTGTAGATGTGGAATTTTAGATCGCCGCCTAAAATTATTTAATAAACTGCAATAAACAATACCTATTACAAAACCTACAATATTGGTATCCACTGTGTGTTACACAGTACACGTAAGTCTCGACTTAATGCATTAAGTTTTGGAGTTAATCATGTTCGAACACCCTAATCAAGACACTTGGTTTGCCAATATCTTGCTTGCCTTAAAACACCAATGCAGAATTGAGCATTTTTAACAATATTTCTAAATTTATTTATTTACACTTTGTTGCTTTATGATATAAAAATTTAACAAAATTACACGTAAAGGAAAGGCAACTGGCGGCCTTATCGCTTTCGAGCGATCTCTTCCAGGCAACCACTGTGAGAAAAGAAAAAAGAAATTACATAAAGCATTAATCGAAAACCCAATTTTATCGCATTTTACAACGCTCCGAGTGTTTTTGAGTCGTAGCAAGCGAAAAACAACAGCTAATTGACCAAAGCCGTACATCACATACTTACCATTCATAATAGTCAGCACCAGACAAAGGGCGTCCTTAGTCTCATAAGCATACGCAAGGTTGACGACAAAGCGTGAATTAATACGCTGGAGTATCTGCTTCTCTATCAGCACCATCGCCTCTCCCTTTCTCTTCTTTATACGTTTCTTCTCTAGCTTCTTGCATGCGTACATTTTACCCGTAGCTCGAACCTGTAAGTCAGAGTTAATAAAATGATTGCGCTAAAACTGACACTTTCAAATTGGGTCACTATTGAAACAGTCTCATTATTTTTTACTGATCAAACTATACATTGTAAAAGAACAATTGTTAATTCATTTAATTAACACAAGAAAAAGTCAATCTATTAATCATAATAATTATATCAATATAATTAGAAAGTTAAAAACTTTATAACACGCAATTTCTCTATCGTCAATCACGTTTTATCTGTTACGATTTAAAAGACATATTACATTTAAAGAAAACACTTTTTTACCGGATTGAAGTTATGTATTATTATAAATTTACAATTATTTTACATAATTTTAAATTTTTCCGACGTTTCGCGTGCTTTACAGCGTGCGTGGTCACGGTGACCAATAATTATAATATGTAATTGTAAATTTATAATAATACATAACTTCAATCCGGTAAAAAAGGGTTTTCTTTAAATGTGTAAAGGTTATGTCAATAAAAGACTAGACAATAGACATATTACAGTTATATATAGTTTAGTAAGCAAAAAACTCACTTGACAAGCGCAAACCTCCCCAAAACCGCCTTTGCCCAAAACTCGGTACATGCGGAAGGTATTTTGCGTAATAGGTTGTGCTTCTAGCCATTTCCATTGTAAATACCGATGAAAGTACATAGACCTCTCAAACTCCGCGAATGGAGTGCCAGCGAGAAAGTTTTTCACGCATCGTATGCACTCGCCAAAAATATCCCGAGCGCCACCTGGAATTAATTAATTAATTTACTTACGTAAAATTAAATGAGGTCATTTAAAAAATAATTTTCCTGTAGAATACTTACTACTCTTGAATAAAATTTGTTAAATTTCGTAAGTAGTGTTTGATTTCGTAAGTAAATTTATCTACAATTTAAAAAAAAGATTTATACCTATTTAAATAATGCTAACAAGTATTTGAATTTGGTTGAATAAATGTCATTAATATAGCATTTGCATTCATTTGTTTTTAAACGTCTATTTATGTAAAAAAGTCACTAGTCATAGGAACATTATATTTATCAGAGTTACGATACTTACTCAGGCGTAATAGAAACAGATTAATGTGTCTTGTATTCCGTCGGCGAATAGAAACATTAAAGAGAAATTTGAAGAGAAATTTTAGGTAAAATTGGAACTGATTTAGAGAATATTGGCAAGTTTTAGAAGGTTAATGCCACACGTACGTCAGTTCTAACTTTGGATGCGATTTATATGAACGTAAACACAGTTATAAAAACTCAATTTGCTTTGTATTGTTCTTCGTAATTGATAGAGAGATATAATTATATATCTCGCTCATAGACTACGTGCTTCCATAGAACTAAGAAGATCAGGATTGTATGCATCTTGGTAAGGTTCCAAGTCAAATTAACACAAAAACGTATTTAAAATAACGGTCCGTGACCGTTTGACTGTCTGGCAAAGCACCTTGGCTATCAAAAAATTAAATCCATTTCTAAGTAATATTTAAAGGTACCTTCTAGAAGAAGTGCACTGGCGTCGTCGATAACATTGGCAGGAACGACGTCGGTGACAGCATCTTTGTCTTCTGTTTTAAGGTATCTGCCAAACACCTCCGCCGTGAGCGCCACCCTCACTTCATCCACCTCCACTTCCGACCTCTCCGCCTGGAGGTTTATATTACGCTTTTATTGGTTAGATATAAATGCTTTTTATTTACGTCAACACATACCAGCTGAACCAGATTAAAACGCTAAACGCGTTCGTGGGGAAAAATAATGATAATAATTAACCATTTAAGTAAATATTAAATTTAATTTAATCCAACTGACGTAGTTAATCCGTCACAGCTGGGTATTGGATTTTAAATCTAGAATAAAATATAATTACAAAGGTATCTCTTGAAGAACGTTAGAAATGGCATAGATTAATTAATTAATTAATGTTTGCGTCGCATTTATTTAACTTGAGACGGCTTAGATAAATTACGAAGTTTCTTTAAACAGGTCCGGTTTATATGTATTGAAAAAGGTGGAATATACACAGAAGGAAGTCAGATCGATAGCTCACAGAATATATTTAAAAAAATCTATGTACACATATAGCTTTGTATAACTCCTGATGCCAAACTTCGCAAAGTTCACACTATAGTTTGTGATATGTCGCTTTTGTCAGTGCTTGAACTTGGCTAAACAGTTTCCTCACGTACTCTGGCCATTACTTGGGATTGTATTATTAACTTCAGACGTATAGATATGATTAACTCGAGAACACGAGATGAATTTAGAATGGCTATTTAGGAAATATTGTACAGTTATAACTTTGCGTGATCGCGACCTCGTTTGCGTAGCCTAAATAAGTCTGTTATTTTACATATATATATATATATATATAGCAACAGAAATGCGATTGACAATAGTTGTATATAAAAATTACCTAAGTACCAATAATTTTGAAAGAATAAATTGCGAAATTACGAGTAATAAAATAAAAATATTTTACAAATTAGATAGCAATTTCTAACACTCAAATTTGTACCAACATTAACCCATAATATTACACGCGTTTTGAATGACTTTAAACGAAAACTTTTTTTTACCTACTATTCTTTAAGGTATAGGAATGGAGTGAAAAAGGATTAGGAATAATAATACTATAGAAATACTTAAGCTAATAACATCCGTGACACGTGTATATTATACCAACAATTGTGGGGTTTTTCGAGATATAAAATCTTTTCTTTAAGTGTTTATTAGCTTAATGCTTATTATAATTTCCTGTTGGTATTACCCAAGTTCTTACATCTGTAAGGACAATTTCAGAATTGATCCGTAATAAATTCTTCCTTATACTATGTATATGATAGTTCGTTATTTCTATCAAAATAAGGATTAATTCTAAGATTCAGAGTAGATCTGTCGAAAATATCACCATTTGACAGCTTTGTCTTTGGACTTGTCTCTGAAGCTTTACCATTTTTTAATATAAATTCACACCAATTCCCTGGACTACAATTCGGTAGTGACGTTGGGCTTTCTTGTCATGTTCATCAACAGAATAGTTAAGTCATCTCTTATCTGTGTAACGGCCTAAGGGTAAGATTCATAAACGAACATGTGACGTCAAACATGCATTGGATTTTGACAAGTCTTCATAAAGAACATGTGACGTCAAACAAATGCATTTTTATAATTTTAGCGGCTATATTCAACATTTTTCTCGACCATACAAATCCGTAAATCTCATAATGTAAATTACAGAGAATAGATACAGAAATCGATTAATATCTTGAATGAATCGTCAGTTCCAACAAGAATTTTCTTTTTACCAAAAAAAATAGAAAAAGGGGTGTTTTGTGGGGAGGGAACTACAAAACACTTTTCGGAAAAAAAAAATCAAAAAAATAAAGGCGTAGACAAAAGTGATTTCTGTCATTTCACAATATGTATTCTGTTTTTAATTTCAAGTCAAAACGCAGAAATGATAGTCTGGCATGATAATGAAACGTTTAAACAATTTATTAAAATTAATAAAAAGAAGAAAAAAACAAACCACACCAAAATTTTTCACCATAAACGGCAAAATGGTTGACATTTTATGGCTCTACACCGTTGTAGAACAATTTTATTTGCGGTTTTATTTTGTACATTCTCTTGGCTATTGTATTCCTAACAATTTTACTATCGTCGCGTGGATTGGATTATACCAATATCTATAAAGATTTAGAGTTCTTGCTCTAAGCCTATAAAGCAACTAAAGTACAGTAAATGCGCAAAAAATATTGGAACATTCATCTCAGATTGGGGTTACGGTTCGATCCATTAACTGATCATTAGTTCTATCCACACTTAATCGACACGACAGTGTCGGCTTTGCAAATTAAAATCGAGCAATACTTTTTCTACGTCCATTGCCTAGTCAATTTAAATATAAAAAACGTTCCTGCTGCGATCGAATAAACGCAACGATTCCATACTTAAATAATTGCCAACGCTTTAATGTTCAGGGATATTAAATTGGGTACAATTTAACAAAAATTTACATCGTCATATTGTAGTGCATGTTATATGACTTCGACCAATCTAGTAACAACACCAGACATGTATTGTTTAGGTAACTCCTAAGTCCATCCCTGGCTCATACAACACTGGGGAGGCGAAATTCATTTTATGTGCGGTAATTACGCGTTCCCCGTTTCATTTGCACGGTAATAATTTTCTTTTGGAGCGAGAACATTTTATTGAAATTCTAAGGTGCTCCTCAGAATTGCAACTAAAATGTCGCTTCTCCAAGTTAAATACTATAACGTACTGATCGTATAAGTAAAGGGAATATATTTTATAATATATTATTAGTTAGTTGGTGTTAGTTCCGTTTTCAACAAAAACCAGAGGTTGAACCTCCTATGTAGAAACTAGCTTGACCCGACAAACGGTTGTTTACCGCGTATATTATTTCTAATAACATGGCAAAACAAACATTTTTTTATTTCAATAAATATATAAAAAATAAAAAAATTCATCGTAGAAGGGTGAAAATTAAGGGTTGTATGTATTTTGGCATGCTGTATCATAAAAAAAATGTTTTGTCTAAAAATTAAAAAAATAATAATTTCTGGGACTACCTATAGATGTTGTCCGATTCTCAGACATACCCAATAAGCACACAAAATTTCATAAGAATCGGTCAAGCCGTTTCGGAGGAGTTTAACTACAAACACCGCGACACGAGAATTTTATATATTAGATATTATGTGTCCTTCCTGGATAATCAGCCAATACAAAATTATTATCAATCCGAACCCGTAAGAGATTAGGGGCTAGGGCATACAACCAAAATTCAGCTTTATAAAAATCGTGATAAAGTATAGATTTGTATACTAACTGCATCTAGGAAACTGTTGTACTTGTGGTAGTGAGGGCGATTCCGTTCGCAAAACTGTCGGAACAGCAGCTTGCCGATCGGCTGCTGGTCGACAATGTATTCGTAGTTTACATCTGAAAATAAGAAAATGCTGATTAAAATCGATCAATCTTATGGTCAGTTATCGCCTAAATCCACGTCACAATGACCAGTTTCCGCTCCGAATTGCGTCTTGTCGCAACAATGTATTTTTAATTCGTATATTTTTTTTATTTTATTTTAGTAAAAATATATACAAAGGGGCAAACGGGCAGGAGGCTCATCTGATGTTAAGTGACACAGCCCATGGATAATAATAATAATAAACATTCTTTATTTATATATAACATTTGAAACAAACAGTACGATTACAATTAAGAAGGTAGGAGACTGGTTTCCAAGCTAGGTAAGAACCTGTGATATGGATAACCAGGTTTCCAATCCACAGCAAAGTCATACTGAGTCATAACAAAAAAAGTACATAATATATGAGTAGGCAACAAAATTTAAAGTTTCTAAAAAGGGAAAAAAATAAAAACTAATAAAACAGTCAACTAGATTCCTACAGGAATAGAGTTGTGTGGGTGTATGTGTGTGTGTGTGTGTGAGTGAGTGAGTGAGTGTGTGTATGAGAGTGAGTATTTGGGAGAGTGTGTGTGGGTTGGTATCAGGCACACGCTAAAGACCACGATATGTATAAATAATTTTAATACATCTAGCAGAGTTTCCGTTTGGTCATAGTTAAAAGTAAGTAAAAACTTATAGACTATTTGCTGTACACAGTTTTTAGTTTTAGGATATAATATATTCAGAGTTTTGTTAAGTTTTTTATACAAGATACTCAATGCCAGAAGGCTCGCGAGTGCGATGCCGGCATTTTAAAAATTGTAACGCCCTTTTCTTGAAACGCTCGATTTTCATAATATACACGGTTTTAGATATTATATTGATGCAATGTCATCTAAATAAAAATTTCAGCAAGTTCAATGAATTTTTGGTCTTTGCGAATAACAGCTATATTTGAGTTGATATGAAAGAAAATCCACGAATAAAGATGAAAGAGATCCTTCTTTCTTCCGCTTAAAAAGTTAAAAAAATTATCGAGTGTTCGACCTAAAAAAAATCGGTCATTGTAATATAGCGTTAATTTTTCATATCTATGTTGTACTTGTAGTTATGAACGTCAATAATAAAAATGAAGATCTAAATTTATATTTACTACCAGTTCCCAAATTATAATTGCCACGGCGACCTAAACGGCGGTTTCACATACTCCTATTACCTTAAAAGCACCCTATAATTGGTTTAACCAAGCCTAATTGAATCACAATCGAACATAATACGAGATATTAAAGTCGCATACAATTACTGAAAGTGTGACTAACTCTCAATAGCGAATTTATATATAAAATATCTCAATAGCAATTCTCTAAACAACGTCGTATGGGGCTGTATTACTCCAATACTTTTATAGCGATCCTGCTTTCAATATAGTTTTCCTACCACGTGATGCCAAGTGTACGTAGTACTATGGATATTACAAGATTTACATCAAATTGGGATTTCCTTATCACAATTATTGCAATCATTGTTATATATATAGTGTGCCAATTCTAGCCAGTCATTTGTGTAATATATGGCAGGCAACAACTTAGCAACTTAATTATGCTATTTATACATAGGCAATAGAGTATATAGAATATAAGATGTGGTGTGGTGGGATATTGCTATTCTATGGTCATTTTACTATTCTGTTAATACTTAGTAATTTAAACAAATTTTTTGGTGTCAATTGGTAGTCCACGGCAACTTTTATATTCAACTGTAATAGTTTTGAAAAAATGAAGGCATATAACTTATAAATTGTTCGATTACTTTTCATTATATTATTAGAACGTGTTGGTATAGCGGCTTCAGCTTGCGACCCTCATCCCCGAGGTCGTGCATTCGAAACACGGCTATACAAATGGAATTTTCGTTTTATGTTTGCAATTGTCACTGTGTTGCCTACATATGAAGAAACCGGCGTGGGTTTAAGCCCTAAAATCGAAGACGAGAGTCAGACAAAGAAGTCTGATCACCTACTTGTTAATAAAATAAAATACTTAATTAATAATAAAATAAAATACTTAAATAATAATAAAATAAAATACTTAAATAATAATAAAATAAAATACTTAAATAATAATAAAATAAAATACTTAATTAATAATAAAATAAAATACTTAATTAATAATAAAATAAAATACTTAAATAATAATAAAATAAAATACTTAAATAATAATAAAATACTTAAATAATAATAAAATAAAATACTTAAATAATAATAAAATAAAATACTTAATTAATAATAAAATAAAATACTTAATTAATAATAAAATAAAATACTTAAATAATAATAAAATAAAATACTTAATTAATAATAAAATAAAATACTTAAATAATAATAAAATAAAATACTTAAATAATAATAAAATAAAATATTAATTATAATAAAATAAAATACATAATTAATAATAAAAAAGACATAAAAGAGCACTATCTATTTTTATATTATGAAATTTAAGTATGGACATCTAATACTATTTTTATGTTATGCAAAATATTATTTCACGAGTGAATGGCCCATCGGTATATGCAATTTGAAAGTAAACTCTTTCATAATACAAATACGGTACAAACTCCTGTAAATGGGAAATACATTTCATTGATACATAAACAAGTCATTATTCAATTATCGAACTACATTTGATTCAGGGCCATAAAGCTAAAATAATTGTCAGATTTCATGAGTTCATGTTCAATATGAGGAAAATCGACCTAACTATGTTAGTTGGACTTTATTTAGTGTTTCCTTTACGATAACCCAATAGCAATAAAATTAATCGAACAATTAATGAGGGGAAGTTTAATTTATAATAAAACTACATTGCTACATTGATACTAAAGCTCGGATAAATCTAATCCATAATAATAATCTAATCTGATCCATTAAATCTCTTTCTTGAATTTAAACCGTTTTGCTGATGCATATAAACCAATGGCGCTACAACTCTTAGGTCTGGGCCTCAGATTTCTGTATCTGTTCCGTGATCTAATTACCAAGTAGGTGAGCAACCTTCCATGCCTTACACACCGTCGACTTTTTGGGTCTAAGGCATGACATTCCTCACGATGTTTTCCTTAAACAGAAACTCCATTTGTGCAAAACTGGGGTTCAAACCTACGAACCCAGGATTGAGAGCCGCACGCTGAAGCTACTAGGCCAACACTACTCCTTTGCAGATGTATACACAATGTAATACGACGTCCCATCGCATCCAGCAGTTAGCCGGCATTCGATGGCAGAAATGGAAAAATAAGAAAATATCCTAAGAAACCGGCATATAAAAAGACCCAAATCGTGTGACAGGCACAGAAGACCGACTACTTGAGTAAAAGGGACTCTTAAAGGATTGTTTCCAAACTGAATTATTGACGGAGGCATACTTTCGGCGCGGCGGGATTTCAATCAGAGATAAATACGCAAGAATCTTTTTATTATGATAGTTTGCTATGACGTCACTGAGACACTTGCGGATAAGGACTCAATACGGACTTCACATTAGTCATACCGTCCAAAAGATAACTAAATTGTTTTAAACGATACGCTTATCGCGTCCAAATACTAAGCTTTACCGTGACCTAATTTTATGTTGGGACGATATATACCAGCACTGGTACTCTTTCAATAGCGATTACGATTTACATAATTATGTCAATACTAGCTGATTCGGCAAACGTCGTTGTGCCATCTATATCATTTATAATAAAACATAGGGGTTGATCGTAGAGGGGTGAAAATTAGGGGTCGTATGTATTTTTTAATGCTGTATCATAAAAAAAATAAAGAATAAAAATTTTTTTTAGGGGTGGACTACCCTTAACATTTAGGGGGATGAAAAATAGATGTTGTCCGATTCTTAGACATACCCAATATGCACACAAAATTTCATGAGAATCGGTCGAGCCGTTTCGGAGGAGTTTAACTACAAACACCGCGACACGAGAATTTTATATATTAGATATATTGTTACAAACGTCTCGATACTTCAAAAACTCGTTATTAAGCAGCGTCTGTTCTCAACAGTACAATCTCGCATCCTTACATTCTTCGGACGTATATCGGCGTGGTGATCAGTAAATGGAACGCCTTGTCGTTCAAGGGAATGTGGAAGGCACTAGACCGCGCGGAAGGTCACCTACGTGTTGGACTGACCAGATCAAGTCTGCCGTAGGAGCTTCACTCGATGAGTATCACATCTGCCCCTTCTAATACTACTACTACAAAGCATCACGACGGCTCTGTTAAGAGTGCATCAAATAAGAAGAACAAGATATTGTTACAAAGTATTTGCGCCAGTACTTATCGTTTAAACAACATCAATTAGGAGGACCGTCTTGCGTCTGTATTTATTGTGTATGATCTATTCAAAATATCATTTATTCACGTAGGTAAATGTTTATGAACGTTAATTAAAGAAATTGTACTTAATATACCTAATACCAATTCTCAAATAGACCAGGGTCGATAATTTTTGAAACCTAAAAAAAAATATTAAGGGTAAAAAACGGTTTATCTCGATTTCCGGCAAAACTAAAAGTCCTATGGAAAAAACTCAAATGGCAAAGTTGTAGGTAATAAAAAGATCTAAAACTTTTGTATTTACTCATTTTTTACATTACCTCAAAATTTATGTGATTATTTTTCCGACCCAAATATCGACCAATAGAATTGCACCATTCGACGTCACGTGGTACAACCTACATGGTATTATACTGATAATTTTTTGAAAATTTTCTTGGAGTTGCTTCAAGAAAAGTATTAAGTAGTGTTTTATTCATTATGAAATTATTTGTTAACTGACATTTCGTCTCATGGTGCAATTCTATTGGGCCGACATTTGGGTCGGAAAAATAATCCCCGAATACACACGAGCTTCAAAATTATCTGGCATTTCCCTCAGGTCCCTGCAAACAAATAAAGTCGTCAAGTTTTTCAGGTTAAAAAATTTTTTAACCTGAAAACTTGACTCCTTCATTTGTTTGCACGAACCTATCGGGAAATACCCGATAATTTTGAAGCTCTTGTGGTATTATAAGTGAAAAATTCAAAGTTGTTGGTTTTTAATTTTTATCTTTTACAAAATTTAATTATTTTCCCACGAAATTTGGTGAAAACTTACCTTTTTATGTCTTTAATACGCTGTAATTTATTTGATTTGAAATAATAATTTTTTCACCTTATTTTGAATTAATATCGAAAAAGCACCCTAATTTTCAATCGAAAATTCACCCGTCAAAATATCAGCTTTTTTTAAAAAGTTGGTGTGCTTTCAGTTCGTTGCAATCTCTACTTTCCTATGGTAAAAAAAATATATATATATATATATATTACCATAGTAAATCTTCTCAGAA